AGAGAAAGTAGGAGGTACCCTTGAATAAATTGGTGTAGGAGACCGCTTCTTGAACATAACTCCAGGGGCACAGACACTGAAAGAAACAATTAATAAATGGGACCTCTTCAAACTTAGAAGCTTCTGTAAGGCAAAGGACACAGTTGACAAGACCAAACGGCAGCCCACTGACTGGGAAAAGATTTTCACTAATCCTATATCCGACAAAGGGCTGATTTCCAAAATATACAAAGAACTCAAGAAACTAGTCAACAAATCACCAAATAACCCTATTAAAAAATGGGGTACAGAACTGAAGAAAGAATTCTCAATGGAGGAAATCAAAAAGGCTGAAAGACACTTAAGAAAATGCTCCACATCCTTAGCTATCAGGGAAATGCAAATCAAAACAACTTTGAGATACCATCTTACCCCTGCCAGAATGGCTAAAATTAGAAACACCAGTGATGACTTATGTTGGAGAGGATGTGGAGAATGTGGAACACTCCTCCACTGTTGGTGGGAGTGCAAACTCATACATCCATTTTGGAGATCAGTATGGCGGTTCCTCAGGAAAATGGGAATTATTATACAACAGGACCCGGCAATCCCCCTCTTAGGCATATACCCAAAGGATTCACATCAATGCAACAAAGACATCTGTTCAACTATGTTCATAGCAGCACTATTTGTAATAGCAAGAACCTGGAAGTAACCTAGATGCCATTCAATTGAAGAATGGTTAATGAAGATGTGGCACATCTACACAATGGAATACTACTCTGCAGAAAAAAATAATGGTAACTTGAAATTCGCAGGCAAGTGGATGGCACTTGAAGAAACCATCCTGAATGAGGTAACCCAGTCACAAAAAGAGAAACATAGTATGTACTCACTCATATATGAATTTTAGAACTAGATCAAATGATCACCAGCCTATAATTCACATCACCAGAGGAACTAGGATACAAGTTGTATTCTAAGAGATTCATATAAGTCCCTCACAGAACTGGGAAGGGACAAGTCCCCCAGACCTCAGGTAAAGTGGGGGAGGACAGCTAATGGAGAGAGAAGTAGGAGAAAATGAGAGGGAGGAGAGGAAGGCATGTGCGACCAGGAGCATTGAGCCTGGTTAGGAATGGATAATAGGAAAGAGAGAGAGAGAGAGACAGAGAGAGAGACAGAGACAGAGAGAGAGAACATAAAAGAGGGAGCCAATATTGGTTTGAAGATAAAGTTGAACACAAAGAAAGGTCGAGGGAACTACAAGACTGCTCCCAACTCACAATCTCAGCACCTGTGGAAAGGCTATCATAAATGCCCTTCCCGGAGAGTGAGATCAACAACTAACTTCTCCATGGAGTCCTCAACTAATGCCTGTTGAAAACAGGAGCAAACACCCATACATAAACACTGAGTTGAACTAGAACCCAGAAGCAGATGGAGAGGACAAGACCATGCGGTAGAAGTACATAGAGACAGCTTACCTGAACAAGGAGGAGCTAAGGGCCACTAGACTGATAGCTGGGAAGCCAACAGGGGACTGACTCGGACCCCCCTGAATATGGGTCTCAGCCAGAAGGTCTGAGCAGTCTAAGAGACCTCAGACAGTGGAGCCAGGATGTATCCCTGGTGCACAAAAGGACTTTGCAAACATATCCCCCATGGAGGGATAACTGCCTTATTCTAGAGATAGGAGAGAAGCCCCAGTCCCTACTTCACAGGACCTGTCAGATCTACATGACCCCAACTGGATGGCATTCCCCTACATATGGTATTGTGGTGGCGGGTTGGGAGGGGAGGGTGTTTAGAGTGCATGGGAGAGGGTAGAGAGGGCAAAAGGGAGGGAAAGAGGGAGGGAGGGCTGGAGGGGAGGGAGGGAGGGAGGGAGGGAGAGAGAACTGGGATCGACATGTAAAATAATAAATTAAAAAAAAAAAAAAAAAAAAAAAAACGCTTTGACTCCAAAATTTAAGTTGAAGAACAAGTTACTGGGGAAAAGTATTTCTATTTTTGTTTCCACAGAAAATGAAAAGATGTGGATTCCTTCCAGACTAATGCGGTTTGATCACACCAGACCGCCTGAAACAGAGTACAAGCTGATCCTACATTCCAAACAGCTGGACAAAACAGCCCTACAGACTACAGCTAGGATATCTGAATCTTCTTCGAATCCCCCAAGACAGCGCCCCTTACCAGCAGGAAGTAGTTTGGAAAGAACGACGCCCAAATTCCCAAATATTGTGTATAAATGTTTGTTTTCATTTAATTGGACATTGTTATATAAAATTAAATAAAAATAAATAAATAAATAAATAAATAAATAAAACCAGGATAGCCAAAACAGCAATATACAATAAAAGAACTTCAGGAGGCATCACCATTCCTGACTTTAAGCTCTACTACAGAGCTATAGTTCTGAAAACAGCCTAGTATTGGCATAAAAATAGACAGGTAGACCAATGGAATCGAATTGAAAATCCTGATATTAACCCACACACCTATGAACACCTGATTTTCAACAAAACAGCTAAAATTATACAATGGGGAGAGGACAGCATCTTCAACAAATGGTGCTGGCACAATTGGATGAGGGTGTGTAGAAGACTGCAGATAGACCCATGTCTGTCGCCATGCACAAAACTCAAGTCCAAATGGATCAAAGACCTCAACATCAATCCAGCCACATTGAACCTCTTAGAAGAGAAAGTAGGAGGTACCATTGAAAAAATTGGTATAGGAGACTGCTTCCTGAACATAACTCCTGGGGCACAGACACTGAGAGAAACAATAAATTGGACCTCTTCAAACGTAGAAGCTTCTGTAAGGCAAAAGACACAGTAGACAAGAACAAATGGCAGCCCACTGACTGGGAAAAGATTTTCACCAATCCTATATCCAACAAAGGGCTGTTCTCCAAAATGTACTAAGAACTCAAGAAACTAGTCAACAATCCATCAAATAACCCTATTAAAAAATGGGGTACACAACTGAAGAAAGAATTCTCAATAGAGGAAATCAGGAAATCAAAAAGGCTGAAAGACACTTAAGAAAATGCTCCACATCCCTAGCTATCAGGGAAATGCAAATCAAAACTACTTTGAGATACCATCTTACTCCTGCCAGAATGGCTAAAATTAGAAACACCAGTGATGACTTATGTTGGAGAGGATGTGGAGAAAGGGGAACCCTCCTCCACTGCTGGTGGGAATGCAAACTCATACAGCCACTTTGGAGATCAGTATGGCGGTTCCTCAGGAAAATGGGAATTAGTTTACCACAGGACCCGGCAATCCAACTTTTAGGCATATACCCAAAGGATTCACATCCATGCAACAAAGACATCTGTTCAACTATGTTCATAGCATCACTATTTGTAATAGCAAGAACCTGGAAGCAACCTAGATGCCCCTCAATTGAAGAATGGATAATGAATATGTGGCACATCTACTCAATGGAATACTATTCTGCAGAAAAATATAATGGTATCTTGAAATTCGCAGACAAGTAGTTGGCACTTGAAGAAACCATCCTGAATGAGGTAACCCAGTCACAAAAAGAGGAACACAGTATGTACTCACTCATATATGGATTTTAGACCTAGAGCAAAGGATCACCAGCCTATAATTCACAACACCAGATGAACTAGGATACAAGGTGTATTCTAAGAGATTCATATAAAGTCCCTCACAGAACTGGTAATGGACAAGTACCCCAGAGCTCAGGGGAAGGTGGGGCAGCGAATGGAGTTTGAAGTAGGAGAAAACAAGGGGGAGGAAAGGAAAACATGTGCAACCAGGAAGATTTAGCCTGGTTAGGAATAGAAGACAGGAAAGAGAGAGAGAGAGACAGAGAGAGAGAGAGAGAGAGAGAGAGAGAGAGAGAGAAAGAACATAAAATAAGGAGCCAATATTGGTTTGAAGATAAAATTGAACACAAAGAAAGGTCTAGAGAACTACAAGACTGCTGCCAACTAACAATTTGAGCTTCTGTGGAAAGGCTACCATAAATGCCCTTCCTGGAGAGTGAGATCAACAACTTACTTATCCATGGAGCCCTTAACTAATGCCTGTTGGAAACAGAAGCAAACACCCATACATATACACTGAGTCGAATTAGAATCCAGAAGCAGAGGGGGAGGACAAGACTAGGTGGCAGAAACACATACAGACAGCTTACCTGAACAAGGAGTAGCTAACAGGCCACCAGACTGATAGCTGGGAAGCCAGCATGGGACTGACTCAGGCCCCCCCGAATATGGGTCTCAACCAGAAGCACTGAGCAGTCTAAGGGACCTCAGACAGTGGAGCCAGGATGTATCCCTGGTGCACAAAAGGACTTTGCGAAAACATCCCCCATGGAGGGATAACTGCCTTAATCTAGAGACAGGAGAGAAGCCTTAGTCCCTACTTCACATGACCTGTCAGACCTACATGGCTCCTATTGGATGACATTCCCCTATGTATGGAATTGTGATGTGGGGATGGGAGAGTGGTTAGAGTGAATGTGAGAGGGCAGAGATCGTAAAAGGGAGGGAAGAAAGGAGGGAGGAAAGGAGGGAGTGAGGGAGGTTGGAGGGAGGGAGGGAGAGAGCACTGGGATCGACATATAAAATAATAAATTAAATTAAAAAAATGCTTTGACTCCATAATTTAAGTTCAAGGACAAGTTATTGGGGAAAAAGTTTTCTATTTTTGTTTCCACAGAAAATGAAAAGATGTGGATTCCTTCCATACTAATGTGGTTTGATCAAGCCAGACCACCTGAAACAGAGTATGAGGTGATCCTACATTCAAAACAGCTGGACAAAGCAGCCTTGCAGACTACAGCCAGGATGTCTGAATCTTCTTCGAATCCCCCATAACAGTGCCCCTTACCAGCAGGAAGTAGTTTGGAAAGAACAACACCCAAATTCCCAGATATCGTCTATAAATGTTTGTTTTCATTTAAATGAACTTGGTTATATAAAATAAAAAGAAAAAAGAAAAAAAAAACATTTTGTAAATAAATCTACCATTTACCTGAAAGTTTTCTCAGCACTTTCAGTTCGTTCTCCAAACTGTCTAAAGCTTGTTGATCTGCAGTGTTATCTAACAGTGGCTGGTTCTGGTCAGTGACATCAATGTACTCAATTTCTGAGATTTCAGAAGCAGCTCTGGATAGAGAATGAGCAGCTGCTACACTCATTGATCGAGGACAAGAGGACAAAGGGCAGCTGGAATCTTTATGAGCCCAGCTGGACACAGGAAAGTTTGCTGTTGAAGGTCTCTGTGATTTCTGGCCTACAAGAAGAAAAGAAAGCAACCAACTGCTTTAAGATCCCAAGAATGCTCATGTATGTTTATTTGCAAATGCACACAAACATGCACACATGTTTATGGAGATTGTAGTTCTCCCCATCAGGAACACCATCTAAATAATTTGAGAGAAATTCTCCCATTGGCTTATGTTTACTATTTAGGGTTTAGTGTTTGGCCAGTGAGCCCAGTGTTGTTCTTATAGCCACCATCCCAGCACACACACACACACACACACACACACACACACACACACACACACACCCCATCATGCCTGTCATTTTTAGGTGGATTCTAGGGTGTCAAACTCAGGGTCTTTACTAACTAAACCATCCAATGTGACCTACCTCCCAGTGTGTCTTAACAATACAAATTACTACCAAGCATCCAATAATACTGGTGGTTTTGGAGTGTCATTTATTTTAGCCATCTGCAATTAATTAATCTCAAATTATAACCTCAATAACATAATGAACTCCTCTGAGCCATTTTTCAGCACTTGGGAAAAAGAGAACCTAATTTTCAGTGCATCTAAAGGAATGTATGAATCTGACCAGCCAGCTTCAGAACAGTATAGTATACTCTCTCCATTCTAGTCTATCAAAAGCTGACACTCTTACATGTTCCTTAAGTTATACAAAAGTACCACACTGTACCTTGAAAAGGGGAAATATAGAATAACAGGGTTTACTCCTAGAGAACTAATTAACTTATCAGAATTTTATTTATATATTCTTATATATGAAGACAAATAGGATAGTGTTAAGGGCTAGGGCAGTCCAGGGCTTTCCCTGAGGTCCTGATGTATGAAGAAGGAAATCAGTTCCTTGTCTAAAACAAGAAGGGACTCAGTTCCTAGTCTAAAACCAGACCCATGTTTAGCAATGCCAGAGATGGCCTGGGTCCAGTGCCTTAGGGGAGCTATAGTTTTGGATCCTGAGAACATAGCTCTTCCCATTTTATGATGGTAGTTTGAAGACTTTGTCCAAATCTTTGCTTTCCATGAAAACTGTATGATTTTATACTTCATAAACATGGTTGGTGTAAGTCATCAGATTGAGCAAGACCTCCTGGTCCCATCATTCTCATCTTCTTTATCATCACATCCCTGTTTTTCCCCCTTAAGAGTCTGTCACTGAAGAACAGCCTGCTACTCCAGGATAGGATATCATGTAAAAACACTAAATTAAAAAGAAAATGAGAGATCATGTGAGTTTTGTAAATCTGAATCCATTCTATGATGCTGCTTACTGGCCCTTTAATCTAGTAGTCCCAGAAAGACGGACCAAGTCAGGGTACTACTGTCTCCCACTGGTCAACCAGAGGTTTTTCTTGGTTCATTTTAGAGGTATCTCAGTTGATTTCTTCAATGTGCAAACATTTTGTTGCAAGACCAGGTGATGCTTTAAGTTCTATAGAGTATAAGTATTCCTAATTTTCTCTTTATTACAAAAGATTCTTTAACAAAAGCCATGGGAATTTTTAAGGAATAGACTCAAAGATTCACAGAACAGGTGCATTGCTCTTGTGTACTTTCTAATTTATTGAAGCATTTTCAAATCTAACATAAATAATGGAAAATTTAAGTTTGTAACCTCTTGAAACAAATGAACTTTTCATTAAAGTTTTGAGATAAGCAACTGGCATTGTTATTGAAATCACGATTGACTAAACAGATCCCAGCAACACGTCTCTATACAGAATTAAAGGGAAATTTATGGGTAAAAAGAAAGTCACTATGGAAGCTACCCTATATAAAATAATCAGTTTTTCTTCCCTTGTTCCTCACCTCTATTGGATGCAACATGTAAATAGCTAATTAAAACTTACTAAGGTAACACACAGAGGCTACTGATTTTAATGAACACTGGAGAAACCAACTTTAAAAATGATTTTGCTACACGCAATTATAAATAAAGTCTCTAACCCTTTAATGACTGTGTGCAAAAAAAGTTCTGAAGAAAGGTAATCAACAGACATATGTCTATATATTGATTCTTGTTAAAATGCCTTCAAGAATTATTTTGATGGCCAGAATTGAAAAGTGGTCTCTCATTTATAGAATGTGGAATGATTCAATATAATGTTCATGGCAGGAAGGAGCAAGCTACCCCCAAATCAGCATTGTGCCACACTCCAACTGCAGCAGTAATTCTTTATAAAAATCAAATGTCCTGGATCCCCGGGATACGAATTATTATTAAGGCCTGGATCTGACAAAAGCGACAACAACAACAGGATGAAGTGAAAAAACTCTCAAATAACTTGGATGCCCTTGAGAAAACTCAAGATAGGACTGCACTGGCTGGAGCTTCAGCAGCATCTGGTTACCACTGAATTTGAAGCTAATTGATACCAATTGAAAGAAAATGTGCCCAGGGGATAAATCACATATGCTTAACACAGAGCAAAAGCACAAACCATCTCCCCTGTTGGAAACACACTCCACTACAGTTTAAAGTCAAAACACAAAGATTTTATGTATTTGTTATTTCTTCATGTGCACATATTTTTCACTTTAGAATTTTACTCATGAGATTATTAATATCATTGTTATTGTTAAGATTCAACACAACATGAAATATGCCACTTATAACAATTCCAATTGAAGTCTTCGTCTTCATCCCCTACTAAAAATACACACACACACACACACACACACACATAGATACACACATAGACACACAAACAGACACACACAGACACACAAAGGAGACACAAATACAGACTCACTCATACACACACACACAGAGGACACACACACACACACACAGACTTTTGGATCAACTGGTGCAATCACTGGCAATCTAATGTCAGGAAATGGTTGATATTGATTGATTCCAGTCAGATCCTAGGAATAATAAATTCTCTTTGGTGAGCCTAAAATATAGATACTCTATGCTTACTAGAGAAACAAGGCTAAATATTGAAAAGACAAAACATGATAATATGAATGAACACAAAATTATTCATGATGTTATGACACATAAGTCAATCACCAAATAATATTTAATGTAATTGCTACTGCTAGTCCATTCATAACATAGAATTTGATGAAACACTGATTTGGGGGAACATTTTTCTTTCTGTACAGGTATATAGGGGCTAGGGGTCAATATAGAATTCCTTCTTCAATCATATTTTGAGACAGTATTTCTCACAGTGATTTAGCTTAGACTAGCTAGTCATACTAGCTCTAGGGATCACCTTGTCTCTAATTCTCTAGTGTCTGGATTACAGGCATACTCCATTGTCCCTGGCTTTTATATGTGCTCTGGATTAAATTCATGTCTCCTTGTAAGCATTCAAAGAAATCTGTCAACTGCTACCTTCTTGGGTAGCATCTTAGTAACAATATTTTATCAAAGGAACCAATACTTTAATCATGAACTAAGTTTGTAAAATTTTAGTACTTGTTACTACACTGCTTGTTTCTAGGAATTACTACTAAAAAATAGAAACATGTTTTCTAAGATTTCTAGGAACATATAAAGAACTCTAATTAAATGGCAAGATTTACTAGTGAAATGCTTAGCTAGGTTGCTAAGAAACTTATCTTACCTCACTGAATCAGACATCAGCTTGTGATGTGACATGATAACCCACATCTCACTTTCAAAATAGAGAATTAGACAGTATAATGTCTTAATTCCATCCAACTATGGGAACCTGTGAATTAATACTTAACCCAATTCAATGATAAAAACCATTTGATAACTCCTAAATCTGCCAAATCCTGTCAAAATCAAGATACTATAAAATGAATCAGACATTGTCCTTGATGTCAATTTCCACCAAAATACCTGAGCCAGTTTGCAGCACTGAAGATTCGCCCAAGTGTAAACAGGCTACTATTTGCTTTCTGACCAAGGTACGATACATGAGAAATATAAGTGCTGTCATACAATGTCTTCTAGGAAAAGGGAGAAAGTGGTGAAGGACTTGGGGAACAGCATTATGTAGGGTGGCCTCAAAGACCTCACTGAGGAGGCAGCATCTGCTCTGAGATTGAAAGCAATCACAAGAAGATCTAAGGATAGAGTGGGAGTTTACATGAATGAGAAAAGTACATTCAGAGGCTAAAAATAATTGTATGACCTGCCTTAGAGGAGAGAGGAGTTAGTGAAAGAACAGATTGGGAGGAGATACAGTGAGGAGAGATGGGGAAGCACTTCAGGTAAAAGTTATTCATGAAAACGAGTGTGGGGGACAACTAAGTGTCAAGATCTTTGCTCATGTTAAAATATAAACCCCATCAGTTATAAAATATATAAACAATTTTCTGATTGAAAATATAAACAATCTACTCACTAATTAATTATAGCTGGAGTGTTTTGCAAAGAGTAAAAGGGAAATTTGAGCACCAGTCAAAATTAAATACTGTTCTGACTGGTTTTGTGTATCAACCATATACAAAATAGAGTCATCAGAGAAGAAGGAGTCTCAGCTGAGGAAATTCCTGAATGAGATCCAGCTGTAAGGCATTTTCTGAGTTAGTGATCAATGTGGGAGGACCCAACCCAAGGTGGGTGGTACCATTCCTGGGATGGTGGTCCTGGATTCTCTAAAAAAAAAAAAAAAAAAAAAAAAAAAAACAGACTGAGCAAGCCAGTAAGCAGCAAGCATCCCTGGCCTTTGTATCAGCACCTGCCTCCATTTTCTTGTCCTGTTTGAGATCCTGTCCTCACTTTCATCAGGGATGAACAACAATGTTAAAGTGTAATCCTAATAAACTCTTTCCTCTAACCCTTGCTTTTTGGTCATAATATTTGGTTGCTGCAATGAAAACCCCTACTAAGACAGACACGTGCCAAGCACTCATTCAGAGAAATAAAAGTTTAAATTTGGGCTGCATTTGGGGAGATAAAGCAACATTTACAAATCAGTAGGTTGTAGCTAGTGCAAGTCAGGTTGACTTCTAGGTGTCCCAATGAAGGTGTCCTACATTACTGCATACAGACACAGGAAGTTTTAAGGAAGGTTGAATGTGGAAGAGACTTTCCTCTAAACATGTATCCTTCCTATAGTTTCTACATTCACACATATTAAAGACCTTTCAGGAATTAATATTCCTACATGCACTAGCATTAGTTCAGAATATAAAATCTCTGTAGCTTGCTTCACTTCCAAGAACATTTCATTTTATTTTAGGCCACTACCTCTGTCCAGAACCCATTTCCACACTTCCTAACTGGTCACTGTTATTGCTGTTTAAAGACTCAACTAAAATGTCATATATCTAGTTTATCATCTCTACTACAAAAAATAGCACACACACACACACCTCCCTTCTAGTTGATATACTACAGTTTAATTTGTATGCTCTTATATCTAGCAGTTTTCTTAAAAATCAGACTTTTGAAGAATCTATAGTAACACAACAGAAAAGGATTAACAAATGGAGATCATCAGGTCTCTTATTCTGTACATATCAGCATCTTTAATGATGAGATCAACAATCTTACATTATAACATGCTTTCTATTGACACTGACATCTGAGAATCTCTGGATGTACTCTAAGCCCCTGGATCACATTTCATTTTTATCTGCTGTGGCTGGCAGTGGCTGGCCTAGGACAGGCACTCCAAAGAAAGTTTTTCATAGTAAATTACTCACTGATGGATCTGCCCCAAATAGCTACATAAAAGCACTTAGCTGTTTACTTAGGAAGATTTGTCTTTGTAACATATTTCTCACAGAATGTGTTTAAACTTATTTTCAACAATACACAGTGACTTAAAACGCAGTTCCTTCTCCCTGCCCAGAAGGCAGAAAGCAGAATATTTGAGGCTGCCTTTTGAATTTGATGTGACAATAGGTATCTAATTATAGCTCCAAAAATTTCATCATAAATTGATGGTTTGATACTAAAAATTTTGTATCTGACAGAAAAACAACATAAATTCACATAAAAAGGTCTAAGCTAGCCAAAGACTTTAGGGCAAAAAGAGGTGTATAAATCTTATACATAAGGGCAAATCATATATAGTTAAATTTTTTGGTTTGTAAAGAGGCTTTAAACCAAAGCAAATAGCCCTTTTTGTCAATTATTCCTCCTAAGCTGAAATTTTCTGGAGATCAGGGAAAATGTCTATGCATTCTTTTATCACCAAACCCTCACAAGGTGTTATCATGCTACACACAACTGTGTGGAACTGACATTTTTTTCTTTTAGCTATATATTGCAACTTCATATGAAATACAGAAAAAAAGCAGATATACTTTTGCGTGTATGATAGAATAAGAGTAATATTCTAACCATACTGATGCTGAATACAGCAGGAAAATAACTATGACAGGTAGCCAACATATGTTTAACTGTGTACACAAAATACATGTATGAATAAATACAATCATAACCTTTCAAAATAAAGGAACCCAGTATAAAAAATATAAAACATTAGATTTAAGACCAAATGTTATTGATCCTGGTTCTAATATGCAATATCAATTGATGGGAGATGATTTCAAAAATGGGTATAGATAATCATAATACAATCTGGAGGTCTCCATCAAGTTCCTCGCCTCAGAGCTGAGAGAATCCAGTGGAAGGGGAGACAAAAAGACTGTAGGAGTCAGAGGAGATGGCATATAACAGGAGAACATGCCCCACTGAATCAACTAAGCAGGGTACACAGGGTTTCTCAAAGACTGAGTGGAAAGCACAGTGCCTGGAAGGGTCTGCACCAGGTCCTCTGCATGTATATTATGGTGGTTAGCTTGGTGTTTTGTGGAATGTGGGAGCAGGCAAGTCTTTGACTCTTTTGAGTGCTCTTAGGACTTCTTTCTTCCTATTGGGAGGCTTTGTTCAGCCTGGTTTGATGTGAAGGCTTTTGTTGTGTCTTACTGTATTTTGTTGTCTATTTTGTTGTTGGCACTTGAAGGCTTAATATTTTCTGAAGGAATATAGAGGGAGAGTGAATCTGGGGGAACTGGAGGTGGGATCTGGTAGGAGTAGAAGGTGTAGAAACTGTGATCCGAATGCAAGTATGAAAGAAAAATGTATTTTCAAGTAAAACAATGACTCAAGTAAAGCACATGAAATAAAGCATAAAAACATAGCAAAAAAGGTGAAGAATTTGTATGACTACACTACTCTTTGTGAGTTGCTCAAAACATACCTTATTTTTTAATATCATTCACTAATATGTTGCTAAGGAAAATAGCTAACAATATAGTTTATCTTTGAGAGAAATAGTGAGTGCATTTAATGTCTTGATTTTCTGCCTTCAGATTTTGGAGTGGGGTATAACTGCAAAAAATATTTCAGATGACTAGTAATTTGGTAAGAATCAAACAACTAAACAAAGGAAGGTAGCATCATGATACTGCTGCCTTCCCATTGACTGTACCTGTCTTTTGCTGTTGCATATTTGGAAGTGAATTTCCAGCACTCTGCAGATTGCACAAGGCAACTACACTAACAGCATGCTCACTTAAGCTGCTGCCTGGGATCCACACTTTGTCTTCTGAAACAGAAAAATTATAACATAATATAAAGTGTAAAATAAGGTAAGTTAATGTTCAGGGGACATAGTCTGTTAATGCCAGGAGATTGGAAAGAGGAATGTAAAGCACACTTCTTCATAAGATACAGCCATCACAATCATGAACTGACAAGAGCTTCATGGACTTGCAGTTGCCTAGCTGCCTACATCAAGTTGCCTGTGCTAGGTGTCCACAAGACTTCTCAGGTCAATAGTGAGTCATGCATGAAAGAGATGCTCAGGCATTCCTATCCATTCCTTGAAATCCACTGATCGATGCTGGGACAGTGTGAGTCATCCTTTAGTTGTGTGATCCCACAAAGCTTCCATGGATGGGCCTAACCAATAATCACAGAGATAGTTGTGTTATACTCAGTGAATCATAAATCAAAGTGAAAACAGTGAACTTGAAAAAGAAACTTGTAGAGAAGAAAGGTGTCCTTATTAGTTTTTTGTCAACCTGACACAATCTACAGTCACTTAGGAATAAGTACCCCTTATTGAGAAAATACTTCCATAAGATTGGACTAGGTCCTATGTGTCAAGCATTTTCTTGATTATTGATTGATGTGGGCACGCACAACCCACAGATGGGTAGTGCCAAACCTGAGTTTTTGGTCCTGAGTTGTGTAAGAAAGCAGGCCAACTAAGCCATGAGGAGCAAGCCAATAAGCAATATTCTTTCATGGCTTATGCTTTAGTTCCTGCCTCTAGGTCCTTGTTTTGAGTTCCTTCTTGATTTCTCAAGTGTGAAATGAAATATTTTCCTCCATAAGTTGATTTTAACCATGAGGTTTTATCACTCTAAGACAAGGAAGATCAATAGGGGTAGAAGAAAGATAAAATAGAGTATATGGTAAGAGTAATTAGAATGCATATATGATATTGTTAATGGTTAAATTAAATTTTTATCTCAACATTTTAGAAAAACCATGTAAATCCTTTGCTCATTCTTTTATTTCTACTATGTTCCCATATGATAGTAATCTGAATTAAGGAACATTTACAGAAAAGAGATATATTATGAAATTCAGTCTCAGTTCTAAAATACAGTTCATTAGGATCCTATGTTTTCATCATCCTCCCTGGGGAGCAGAAAGGGGGTGGGATGGGGGTTGGTAGGGAGGACAGGGGAGGACATGAGAGTGTGGAAACTGGGATTGACATATAAATCCAAGCTTGTTTCAAATTTAAATTTAAAAAAAGCATATAAATGATTGGACATACATTTGTGAAAATTAAAAAAAAATTCCTATGTCTTGACTATAAAAAAGAAGTATTATAAATGCCAAAGGTATACACAAATGTTTACAGAAATAAAATTTACTTTAAGAGTATATAACAATGTACATCAAGATACAATAGTTTATGAACAAAGACTTGTTGGTGTGTACCACTGGGATAGACCCCGGGGTTTTGCATGTGCTACAGAATGATATGTCAATCCCCAAATAAATGTGTTTAAACTTTTGAAGAGTTTGTCTACACTATGTGCCTCCTGAATCTCAGGGATCCTCCTGTCTCTACCTCTGACTGATGGTTTTAGTGGCCTGTGATACACCTGGAATTTTACACAAGTGCTAGGGGGATACAAACTCAGATCCTCACCTTTTAATGAGTGCAAGACTTAGTCTTACAAACAAAAGAAAACTCAAATACAACATCTGATACAATGTAAACTTAGTGATTCGGGGAAAAAAAATATTTTCCCTAAGATGAAAAATCCTGGGCCTGATGAATTTTATGAAGCATTTAAGAAAAATTAGGATCAGGACTATGAAGATTTGTTAGTCAGCAAAGTGCTTGTCACTAAAGGGTGAGGATCTGAGTTTGTATCCCAACACCTTAAAACCTAAAATAATCATCACTCAGAGGCAGTAACAAGAGGATCCCTGGCGACCAGAAGCCACCTCATCTAGTGAATCAGGAAGCTCCAGATTCAATGAGAGAATTGGTATAAAACAAAAAGAAGGACAATAAAGAAAGCACCTAATATTGACCTAGGTTTTCACATGTACGTAGATACCTGCACATGCCTACAATACATGCATCTGCTTCCATGAGCACAATTGCACACATACACAAACACACACACAAATAAAAATGAAAAGCTAAGAAAGTATAATCAATACCAATACCTCTCAAAATTTTTGCCAAAACTCAGGGAACATTAGTTAACTCAGTATCTGGTGCCTAGAGTTATGCAGCAATTTCTTCTTAATTAAAATATTCCCTGCATGAAGGATTGAGGAAGCTCACAACAATTAGGAAGTTACAAAACAAACAAACAGTTTGTCATGTCTGAGAAAGCTGAAATTTGCAAGATTCCTGAGTGCTCTTCCCAAAGGTTATAAAAGCAATAGACTACTTTAGGGGAACACAGACAGGCCAAGAAGCCAAGAGGGTATCCCTAGACTGTTAATTTGCCTGCATCATAGGGAAATTCCTGGGATTCAGTTTTTGCAGTTAATCACTCATGTTAGGGTGAGCGATTTAGTGATGGTAAGTCCATACAATGGCATATTAACAGCCTTAATAGTAAAGGATTGGTTTCCTTTATAAACACAATGTTTTAATGGTGATTTTCCAACTATGTACCCTAGAGTTTTAGAAGTTCGGGACATGCACAAAAGAACATAAACACATAGTGATATTCTAGGTTTATTTTTTATACCTTATTTTTAAAACATCATACATTTTTATACATGATAAAACTTGGAACACTGTGCTGAATGAAATATGCTGGTTCACTTATATGAATGAGTTAAGTGAAATAAGGGAATAATATAAGGATAAAGAAGAATGATACTAGCTGGAGGTTAACGAGAGAATAATGAGTTGCTTAATGAGAATAGAGTTTTGATCTAAAAAGATAAGATGTGTTCTAGAGACAATTGGTACTGGTGTTATATATCATTATAAAAGTAAATAGTACCACTAAGTTGTACACTTAAGAGTCAAAAGTAAATTTAAGTTACTTGTACAATACAATACAAAAATTTTTTAAAGAAAAAAACTACAGAAAAATTTTAGAAATTTATAAGTTAAAGATTTACTATTTTGTGACATTATAATGAGCAATGCTCTTAAATTCTTAGCATGATCTTCCTCCAATATTATTATTGTCTTTTCCTTACTTCCTGGTATTCCAAAATATGGAAGGTAACACAACATTGATACTTTCAGATAAAAAGAAAGTTTTAGGCACTGAATAGAATTTCCCAGTATTTTTTCTTGTTTTTTTAAGTATATTTTTCATATTTTGCATATCAATTCCAGTTCTCTCTCTCTCTCCTATCCTCCCATGCCCCCTCACGGCCTCTCCCCAATCTCATCTCCCACATACTCCCCAGGGAGGGTGAGGCCTTCCATGAGAGATCATCAAAATCTGTCAAGTCATTTGGGATAGAGTCTGACCCCCCCCCCAGTGTCTCTATGCTAAGGGAGTATCCCTCCATTGGAATTGTCTCCCGAAGTCAGTCTGTGCACGAGGACTATATCCTGGTTCCACTGTCAGAGGTCCCATAGACTACCCAGTCTTCTTAGCTCACACCCACGTTCAAGTAGCCTTGTTCCTATGTTGGTTTCACAGCTGTCACATTGGGGTCCATGAAGTACCACTTGCTCAGGTCAGCAGTTTGAGTGGGTTATCATAACATGGTCCCAGTATATTTATTTTTTAAATGGTGGCATTTTAAAACATTGAGTAAGGATATGACTAGGGTGGCTGGCCCAAAGGTAATCTAATTCCTGGTGGGAATTTACCTGTGAATGTTATCCTGGAACAGGAATGGCTGCCTCTTAGGCTTGGTGAAGGAGTGGAGCGGAGTCTTTCATTCTTATGAAGGGTAAAGAACTTCTCAAGACCTTGATACCGTTCATTTACTGGTTTTTTTCTGAGGGCTATATCTTGTAACAGCTAGAGAACAACATTTAACAGACTATTTATTAGCTCATTAAAACAAAGTCATACATTCATTCACTGAGCAACTTCCGATGGCCTTGATACCAGTTCTGATGTAGTAACTTTTACACTGTAATAAACAAAAGAATACAATACTTAGATCCAATTGGATGCAAGAAATGTAAAGCTTTAATTACAAGCTGAAAGTTGTCATTAATCCAAGAAGATTGAAAGTTTACGAAGTAATTTTTTTCTTTCTGTCCTCATTCATTTATTTTCTTCCCTTACTATGACAGATTTACACCTTCCTAATGTTGAACACTTTAGTACAGTTACTCATGTTGTGCTCACCCCAATAATAAAAATCATCCTTATTGCTACCTCATGACTGTAATTATGTAATTATCTTTTTTTATGCATTGCATTGTACAGTGCTATGCATTGTAATGTAAATATCTGAGATGCTCTCTCTGTGAAAAGGTCACTCAACCCCCAATGGGGGTCTTGGCACACTGATTGAGAACCACAGTTTTAATAGATCTTCACATAATTTATGCTGGAATGAGGAAACTCTTAATACACCTCTGAGTTAGTGCTTCTGCTTGTAAAAACAGTTTCCAAGATGAAATAAAATTCCAATGAATGAATCTGATGTGATGATGAACATGAAATTCAAGTTACTATGGCAGAAGCCATAGTGAGGGAAGTGCTGCTAACTGGCTTGATCCCCATGGCTTTCTCAGTCTACTCTCTTATAGAACACAAGACCACCAGCTTAAAAATATCCCTCCCCTATCAATCACTAACAAAATTCCTCACAGCCAGGTCATATGGAGATATTTTCTTAATTGAGGTCCCCTCCTTTAACATGACACTAGGCAGAACACATGGCAAAACACCAAATATGCATAAAATAAAAAAAATTAAAAAAATAAGAATCCTAAGAGGAAACAAGCAATTCATAAAACCTCTAGATAGATTTAAGATGCAGTGGTAGTAATTATGAATATTTAACAATTCCTGATTCAGTGTAATTAATGCTTAAATATACTTGATCCAAAAGGATACCACACAGTGATTCCTATAACTATAAAATATTACGTATGTATCACATCTCAACCTCCTAAAATAATGCTGGCAACCAGTATTATACGTAACTCAATTCAGAAATCCCAGGCTACTCTCCAGTACATTGTTCATGGCTGTCCCGGATATTGGTCATCCCTAAAGATGTTATATTTGAATTATACAATCATCAATCTAAAAAGTGTTTTTAAATTGTGAGTTTAGAGTTCAGACATTTTTTTCTGTTATTTGTTTCAAACTCACAGAGTTTCCTTCTGACAGTTTCAGAGCCAGAACAACCAAGGACCTCCTACTAGTTCATTTTCATCCTGAGTACAGCCCCAAAAACTTAATGCACAATTCAATACGAAGTTCTACTTTAGAAAAACTGAAGCTCAAGATGAACCACCTCACATTCAATTTGGCTATCAGAAAACATCACAGCCAAAATTACACCTGCTTCTTGAACTTAAATTCTGTTCTTGAACATAGTAGATGTCTACATGGTTTTGGTAAGATTAGTTCTACTTTGCCAAAGGGGAACTTATAGTCAGGTCAAGTATTTGCATTAGGGATAATAACTCATTTTTCAACTGAGAAGCATTAGCTCTTCTAATGTCAACTCTTGAAAAACACTCTCATTCTTGAATGTCTAGACTCCTTAGTGGTGCCTTTTTGTTATTCAAGTCCTTTGTACTTGTAATCCAACTCACTCCAGAGATGGGCCTAGTAATTCCTGAATGAAGGTGATCATTCAATCTCCTGGCTATTCAGGTTGAAGCTACTCCTAGCAGAAGACATTTTATGTGGAACAATTTGCACTGTTTTATTCCTTAGTGATTATACTGAAGTACATTCCATGTTGTTTACCTTGCTGGCAAACTCCTAGGGATAAAAGTTATTCTCTCACCTTGAAAATGTGAGGTCAAAAACAAGGTTCTTCACAGATGAACACTTTATAGCTCATGACATTGGCTTAGATTATTCCCTAGAAGATTATGGAAAGTCTCTGCCTACTTGAAAATAGCTATGGGATGATTAAAATAACAGGGTAATAGGTGCTTTGAAACAATCAGATGAATAACACTAAAAAACTCTCAGAAACCCAGTGTAAATTTGTTGAGCATATTTTTATAAAATATTGTATAGGTATAAAGCAATTTTGCTTAGTGATTATAAAATGTGACCACATTCTAAAGAGAGGTAACAAGAAGAATTCAAAAATGTAATTCATAATATTTGAAGGTTTATAACATTTAAAGGTTTAATCAAAAGTTTTGATATATATAATAAAACTTGGTCACACAAGTTAATACTAATAATTTAGTTAAATATTGTAGAACAGAAGGAAAAACAAAAATTTTATTGAGACCTTATAGATTGAGACAATAATGTCATTTTTTGGTATTAATATACATTATAATATATGCTTTTATCATTATTTTTCCTTCTAGTGGTACATCTACATGAATTTAATACAGACATTAAAAGTTTGCAAAAATGTCATTTTTCCTCTATGAATTCTTACATAGTTATATTTCAAAACTGTTATTTGGAGCTATCTTTAGTTATTATAGTTTTATTTCATCTTAGCTACAATATTATTTTAATTATGAGAGTATTCACAGACTTTACATTATTTTCAAAATGCCCTTTATTAGGGTAATAAAAATTGCACTTTATTAACTGCTTAATGAAAATATTTTAAATTTCTCTTTATTATATCTATTGAGTATCTGGGTTCTTCTTTGATTGACCTTTCATAAATAAGTGACTAGATTTGATTCATCATTATTTTCTGATTTCTGAGTTTATATCCAGAAAAAAAATGTTTTCCAAATTTCTTCATCAAAGGTATACTTGTCTTAGGAAGTAATTAAATAATTTAATCCCTATTTGTTTGCAAAAAGAGATTGAGTTATTAGATTTGAATATAAATTATTCAATGATTTATTAACATTGACCTGCAAATTTTTCATGCCTTTCCCCTTGCTTTGTTTTATGAAGGGAAAACTGTTTGCAGAAAACAGATGCAATTACTATTAGTTTAAATGCTTTAATTATGTCTTTATTATTTGTTACCTATCATGATAGAGCCCTCATCCAGTAATTCATGGAATCAGACAGAGATCCACAACCAAGAACCAGGCAGAGCTCCGGGAATCCAGGAGAAGAGAGGCAGAAGAGAACATAAGAGCAAGGGAGGCCAAAATCATGATGGACAAACAGAGACAGCTGAACCAAGTTCTTGGAAACTCATGAATTCTAGCCCGAAAGCTGTGGAGACTGCAGGGGACTGAACTAGAACCTCCATATGTGGAAGAGATTTGTGAGGACTGAACTATCAGAAGGAGCTCTGGCAGTAGACTATGATACAAACCTGGTACATGAGATGCCTTATTGGAGCCCATTCCTTACGGTGGGATGCCATGCTCAGCGGCAGTAGGAAGACCATGATACAATCCCAGTACATGAGCTAGATTACTGGAGCCCATTACCTATGGTGGGATGCCCTGCTCAGCCTTAATGCATGGGAGAGGGACCAGGACCTACTTCAACATAATGAGCCAGACTATAATGAGTCCTCATGGAAACTCTTACTTGTGAGGAGGAGTACAATGGGGGTATGCTACAGAGAGAGGTGAGGGACCTAGAAGGAGTGGGAGGGGGAGAACTGTGGTGGAAATATAAAATGAAATCAAAACGTAGAAAATGTATTTAAAAAATAGAATATCACATGTAAGGCAATTTGTGAAGAATGTTAATGGCATGCTAAATATTTTTTGTATTTTTTATTTAAATTTTAAACAAGCTTGTTTTACATATAAATCCTAGTTCCCACACCCTCCCATCCTCCCATTCCCTCCACCAACCCCTTCCCATTCCCTTTCTGCTCCCCAGGAAGGGTGAGGCCTTCCTTGGGGAGTCTTCAAAGTTTGTCATATCATTTGGAGCAGGGTCCAGGCCCTCCCCCATGTATCTAGGCTGAGAGAGTATCCCTCTATGTGGAATGTGCTCCCGAAATCCATTTGTATACGAGAAAAAAATACTGATCCACTACCAGAGGCCCCATAGACTGCCCAGTTCACCCAACTAACAGATCTAGGATGCATATCTGTTGAGTGTCTTCTGGTCTTCCCATGGAGGAAACATTTAAAAAAAAAAAAAAAAGAATGAGAGAACACCAAACTTACTGTTACAACAAACCCTGTCAAATATCAAAACTATTTCCCACAATAACAGCCTCGAGACATTCCCAAGGAAAAGTAAACATAACATGATCAACATTTGTACACTGCACCTCTTAATTTTAATACTTCTTGCACTGAGGATTAAGTTAACAAGATAGGAATTTTGGAAGAAACAAGTAAACCACAGAAAATGGCATCTGTCTCTTTAGGTTATTGAATTAATTCAAGCTAAATTTTCATAAGTCTCATTTATAGAAAATCTATTCCACTTTTCAAAGTCTTGAATTATTTGAATAATACATCAATATAATAGCAGTTTAGAATTATACCATATCTCACTATCAATACGCTATATACATTTTTGTACTTTTTCCCAGCCTGTTCATCCATAATTGTGTCTTACTAATAATCTTTTTATATTAATAACAACTTCTAGTGTTGTAACATTTCTTTATTATCATTTGTGTCTTTCTAAATACATTGACTTTAGCTTAATATTGAATTTTCATTACTTCAGTGCCAGACCTATGATTCATTGATTTTTGCTTTGTTTCTTTTATTCATGAATTATGTATGTTCTTTGCTCACCGTGGCTTTATACCATAATAAACTTATTCTTAAGTTTAAGAGTATTTTATGTTGTAAGTGTATTTAATGCACCTAAACCTTCAAAATTATTCTTTGTCTGGGTGTCAACAGTAACTGGAAGTCACTGTAGATCTTACTAAATATTCAAAGGCAACAAAATTAAACTTCACAATTGAAATATGACTCTAATAAATGTGTGTTGTTTTAATAGAATAATAAAAACATAATTTGTAAGCAGAACCAATGCATCTGTATACAATTTTTAGTAATTAGTTTTTCAACTTTACAGACTAGACCCTTTCTAATGAGAAAAAGGAGGCTGAGAAATGGATACAAATAGAGAAAGAAAATGGAGTAGTCTAAGATTTCAACCACCTGTAAAACTCTTATGGTGTCATGGATGCTGTCAAAAGTCACCACCCATTTTGCTCTGAGAGCTGGCTTTTTTATTCACAAATGCACAACATGGCAGAATGTCACCATCCATAAAAGATCCCATGACCCATTTTCCATTGAGCTTCTAGAAGGCTGGACAAGGTCAGATTCTCCCTATAGAACTAGAATTTCCTAAGTTCAGGATTCCTCCCCCCGTATGAATATATGTACCAAATCACCTTCACACTGATGCGTGTAAATTGGGAAGATGAATTCTTGCTTTTTTCTCTTTGTTGAAATGCACACCATAATCTTCTTTCTTCATTGGGGCAGTAGGAAGACAAGATCATTTGAAATGAGACATTATGTGGAAAATGTAATTTGTGGAAATGTCCTTCTGAAATAGACCTGGATTTACATCCCCCACATACATCAAGGCATTAATAGGAACGATCATCACTAGTGCATATATGGTTTGGAAATGGCAGGCAAGAATGTACATCCAATTGGGTAGGCTCATACAGACCTCTGAAAAATTATAGCTGCAAAGTTTCATTTCTTGTGTCAGATATTCTATTGACCTGACCCAGACATTCTGTGCTGATCAGTTTCTTTCATCTTGTTGCAACTTTGATTATTTCTCTTAGTATCAGACCAATTACACAGTATCTGAGATGTTTAAGAATATGGGATTTTGAAGAAGTTTCATTTCTAATTTCATATTTCAAAGGCACTACAAATTTTATAGGACAGTGTAAAAAAAAACTCCAGTCTGTACCAAACAGAATTAATATGAATTCAAGTTTCATTCCTCCACATGTTTTGGTTATTGTTTCTATTTAGGCTGCATAAACTGAATTTTGATAAATTTTAAGAGTTATGAAAGGGTTGACTAACCTAATTTGCAAGGCATTTACTATTAATAGTCACCACAACTACAGTAGACTTCTACTTTATGAATTGAGATTCCAAAACACTTTAAAATTGGCACTAGTGCAAGATTGAGCTATTGTGCTCCACAATTTCTTCTTTAGTGATATTCCTAAACTCATGACGTTGTTTACCTACATCATAGACAGCATTCTTTTTCTGTGTACCTGAGCTATTACTTCCAACAATAAATAGATTGATGCACATATATGTATATACAGATACAATGTATACACACACACATATATACATATATATATATATATATATATTATAGACTGCATTATACTCTATACCACATAAATGAATTTTATTTGAAAAAGTACCATTATTCTTGATATATGTATGTGGTGGTTCTTTAAGACCATTTTTCAAATAAAAGTGCTTGTTAAAATGACATTCATCTTATAAGAATTTGTCCTATATAAGCCCCTAATGTTTGTTTCCAAATGAGTCATGTTTAGATATCACAGTATAAGACAACACATTTTAATTTCAGTATAAAATAACATTTTAGTATATTCTATATCAAAACATCATTTTCTCAGAAACATTCTTATAAATTGTTAATTTAATATACATAGTAGGATTTACCAGAGGTGACTTTGTAATTTTTGAATCTTCCAAGTTTGGTCTCTCATTTGGATTGCTGCATTCCAAGGATATGCTGGTATCTTGAGATGAATTCTCCTCCAGGAAATATGTATCAAAATCTGCAGTTGGCAAGGAAACCTTGCTCCAAAATGGCATGCTGGAATCACCAGAATTTTGGTTGTTTCCTGGGTCTTTATTTTTTTCTGTTACATTTTGTTTCAAAGAGCTGGTTTCTCCTACTTGTTTGAATTCATGCGAATAGATATCAGACTCCATAGTATTGCCAAAATCTGTATTTGAAGATGCTGCTGTTGAAATCACATATTTAACAAGATATTAATACATTAAAAATAAATTGACTAAATTGTTAGCAAACCAAAAGTCCAGTGTTCAAATATTTTAATTTATAAAACTCATTTTATCAAAATTTATTTACAATTTTAAATATTTTACCTATTTGATCCAAATTGTGGAAGGATATAGAAAAGATAGTCAACTAGATTTAAAGCAGCAGTAGTGAGAGGAAGAGAGAAAAGAACACCTGCTGTACCAAAACATGAAATGAGCAAGATGGTATTAGTCATCACCTTGTTATGACTGCTCTGAGTGTCCTCATTTAGATCATTGGTTTTCACTGGGATGAACACTGGACTTATCACCACCCTTGTTTAAAACTGTCAGTGGACAGCCCAAACTCTACAGACAATGAAGTGGAACTCAAAACAGCATTTGTCATGTGCTCCCATCAAATACTCTATGCTGTAAGGGTCGAAGGAAATGCTGGTTGAAGATCCCAGACTCAAAAAGTATGCAAGAACAAAGAGCATTTATTAATATTCCAGCATGCAGGGATCAACACCTGTACAAAATGGTGACAACCCTGGAAGGAGTATGTATTGTAAAAGAGGGAATTATGATGATATATTTTTTATGATTTATTAAATGTTGCCTGCAGGTTCAGAAAGCAAAATTAGCCACAAGCCATAGACATTAGGCAGTGGGATACACATAGAGGTTAGGCAGTGGGATACACACCTTTAATCCCAGCAGCCATATAAGCAAGTCATAGAGCCAGGCAGTGGTGGCACACACCTTTAATCTCAGGACTCAAAGACAAGCAGACAGATCTCTGTTAGTCCAATGCCACACCAAGCTATACAAAATTGATCCAGTTCTAAAGAGAAACAGCTTAACACATGGGATCACATGCCTTTAGTCCCAGGATTGAGAGGTATAAAAATAAGAAACAGAGTAACTATTAGGCAGTCAGGCTCCTGAGGAGAGCAATGCAGTTTGGAGATGCAAAGTACACAATTACCCCTTCATTCCGAGCATTAGTGGAGGTAAGATCACTAGGGTTTGGCTTGCTTTGCTTTTCTGACCTTCAAGCAATCTTTAATAAATAATAAATATACATTTAATTGGCTGAGATTTAGTCTTACCATTTTGGACATACTTGCACATTCTAGATTTGTCCTTGAAACATTGTGGGGCTAACAGACCTTGTATGTGCTCCTCCCTTGTCCCTGAATGCAAGGGTATTGTGCATAAGTGGCCCTTTGTTGAGAGAGACACTTTTTATGCCCAATTCAGAGAACTGAAACACAAATTCATTTGTGGGAGTAGAAGAGTTTAACATTTTCAATATGATTAATGTGAATGCTGGGTAGTAAAGTACTAGAATATATTGAGGATTCAAAATACTTTAAGAATTCTTCTTCCAAGTTGTACTATAAACCATATCAAGCATTATTTGTATTGGATAGAGCTTATGATGTTCAACTATTACTTTATTTTCAAAACACGTACTTTTATTGGTGATAGATTATAAAAAATTTGGAGACTTTGACTAAGACTTCTCCAGTGTAAATTCTAAGTTATAGCCCCAAAGTGTTACTTTTTATTACCAAATATTTATATAATTTGGCAAATATATACAGCATAAGGAAATTCCCCTCCAAACTACTGTAATTAATAAAATAGGTAATATTATGAGACATTAAATGTGTAGATCAGATATTTGCTCTTAAAAGAAAGTCAGTAAGGTTACAAAAACAGTAAAAGATCAATAATAATGCTAGCTTATCTCTTATTCTTATAAGGATCCAAATATAAAAATATCTGATTTGTTAGGATAAAAGATACTGTTGTGCCTTGAAAAGTACACAGAAAAGTTCAATAATGTATTGCAAGACTGAAAGATACCACTGCTAAAGCTTTTCACAATGCTCTGTAATAAATACTGTTGGGAGTACAATAACAGAAGTCAGGCAATGAGAAAAAACATTTGGGAAAATATACCTGACAAACATTATCATCAAAAATATAGAAAGAACTCTTAAATTCTATAATAGAAAAGCAAACAACTAAAATGGGCAGAATGTGAAGAAATATCTTACTAAAATTACACAGAGGCTATATGAGTGCTTGCTAGTTTATACAAAGACCTAGTTTAAAATCCAAGCATCACACACACACACACACACACACACACACACACACACACACACACACACACACACACAGACAAAATCATATAAAGATGATAACTAAATTCCAGACATTATTAGGGAGCTGGAAATGAAACAAGAAAGAACTAGTGAATACTGGGGCAAAAGAAATTTTTTTTCCTGTGGAAATGTTAAATGTCCCAGTTACTTTGGTAGAAAGGTTTTGGTTTAAATATGAACTGTCATCCATACGCTCATGCATTTGGATATCTTGTCTGTCTCTCGCTTATTTGGAAAGTTATAAAACTTGAGGAAGGTAGAGCTTTATTGGAGGAAGTGCATTGCTAAGGGTGGGATTTGAAGTTTTATACTCTGGCCTAATATTTTGTTTTCATCTCTGTTCCCTGTATGTAGGTGATGATTCTGCATCACCGACTGCTAGGGATCCTGCTGTCATGTTTTTTTTTTTTTTTTTTTTTTTTTTTTGACACAATGGACTGCATATTTTCTGTAACTGTATTATAAAATGAACCTTGTATTTCCAACCATGTTTCAGCAAACATATTTTATCTCAGTAACAGACAGATAACTCGCACATCAGTTCTAGTAGATGTTATATTCATAATTGCCAAATAATGGTAACAGACTGTTCTTCCATAGTTAATTGGAAAACTAAATAAATTGAAGTTCATTCATATAGGGGAATAATATTTATTACTAATATCAATAGAGTCTTTTGGTGTGGAATGTTGATAAGGAGAAACTGTATATGAGAGTACAAATACTAGAGTGCTGTGTAATTTCTACCAAACTTTGAATTCTGCTAAGCTCTGATGTAGACCAAAAGCATCTCTAAGCAATAAACATGTTCAAATATCTTTGAAGTAATACACACATACTTATGTTCACAGTTTTCTCAAACACAAATGAAAGGTGGCTCTATCTTAGTAAGATAAAAACAACCAAACATGGGTCCAAGGCACCAAATTGCAATGCATTTATGTAGTTCATATGGGCCAAGCCAGTTGAAAAATGTTGGGAAAGGTAGAACTGGCAGGAAGCAGCTAGTTCTTCCCATTCTGCTAGCCACTCAGGTTATCCTCAGCTGTAAATTGATTATATTTTAAACAATGCTCCCAGGAACCACTCAAATTCTTTGGAAATACACCACCTGGATTCCTGACAATTTTAGCTTTAAAAAATATAGTGTTTAAAAAGAAGATTAAAAATCATTCAGTAACTGAATTGTAGATTAGTAAAGGAAAGTCAGGAAAAGATGATGGCATTTCAAGGTGATACAGTTTGAGGGGCAGATATGAAAATTGAATCTGACGATCAGGTCAGGGTACTTCAGTGTCTGTTAGATAATGACCTTAAATTTTAGACCAGGAAATTTCAAAATTTTCTATACAGCATTCAGATCTATGAAGTTAAAAAGAGCTAAAAGGAATGATCTCCCAGAAATAAAAACTGAGTGATTTGTTGGGCATAGAATTTATCTCATATAAATTTCACGTCATATGTAATTATAACAAGCTACTTAATTGTATGTGGAGGCAATGAGCTACTGATCATACTTTCAAGGCACTGAGACACTAACCAGACTTTTCATCATGAAAACTTCCTCTATATAAACTTTAAAATGCTAATTTACCGCTAATAAATTTTATAGAGCCCCACATTGATATTATTTGCTTGTAAATACAGCATTGTTATCTATTGATTAAAAGGATAATTATATATGTTCTCAATAAATTTTATTTTAAGTACCAATTTTCTGGATTTTTCATGCTCAGAATAATAAGCAAAATGTCCCTGGGCCACTATATAGATCTATTGTTCTTTCTAAATTACCAACATTCATTATTAAGATATAGTAAGCAAAAATACAATGTTACCTTTTAATTCATCTTTGTGGTATGTAGAGTGAGTTCTCAAACAAAGACTTAAGAGGTCTGATTTTCCCTTATTGAAAACAAGATGTTGATGGATGCTATTTTCACGTGGGAAACAATTCTGATAATCGGGAAATGTAGAACTTTCATGTTTAGGAACAAACACAAAGAACTATATGAAAGAAATAGTCTCTGAACATTCTGGTTAATTATTGCATAAGATTATAATATAATACTGGTTTTAGATTTTCTGTAGGCCAATTCTACACAATATAAGCTAAACTTTAATATGTACAAGAAATATATGTCATTATTTACAAAATTTTAATAGAAATTTTCTACTTAATAATATATTGATAATATTTGATTTAAAGCATCTTTCAATAATATTGAAGTTTGGTAGAATTACAATCACAGCATGTCATGAATACAGCTGTGCCCCATTTAGTGGTTAAAGTTAAAAGCAGTACAGAGTACTACATTATACTTGCCAACAATGGATACTATCTATATATACAGCTGTACTGTCACATTCACTATAGTCTAAGCAAAACCTGACTTTTATGGAAACTTATAATCATATTACTTAAGATTATATTTAATCAAAATGTCATCTTAGACGCTCATGATTCAAAAAAAGAGAGTATAATCCTGTGTGTACCTTCAAACCAATGCAGTAAGTCTAATGTCAAACCATAATAGGTAGTTTCCTTCATTACATCTAACCCTTTACATTGAGGTCAAAGAAGACATGGAATAACGTATATTAAGGAATAAAAATAGGGGGCAGTAAGATGACTCAGTGTATGAGGAAACTTGTTACCAAGTCTTATAGCTTGCATTCAGTCCCCAGATTCTAAATGGTAGAAGGAGAGAATTTACATATTTTTCTCTGATGTTCACATGCAATTATATACCAACATAGACATATACCGTACATAGACACTTAGATACACAGGGCAATTAATAAATAAATTACTGGATTTTTTTTAAAGGTAGCAAGCAGAAATATTTATCATTTCCTTAAGGAAACACAATAGGAGATATTAGCCACTCAGAGAGCTGTCTCCTGTCAAAACCTCCCTACTGACTACACCTCTGCTGTTCAGTATGTGAGACTCTATGTTCAGACAAAGAGCTGCCTGGAGTTTCAGGGTGTCACTTAGATTCAGACCTGCTGTCATACACTGGGAAGGGCAGAGCTGATCTTAATGAAGCAACAGTAGAGGAGGTACATAGCAGGAGCTCCATCCTTCTGTTGAGTCATATTGAGTATTTGTGATTAAATATCAGTTATTGTAGACTTCACAGAAAGTGGATAATATTTAACTTTACTAACATGGAAATGACAAAATAGCACAAAACAATTACAATGTGAACTACTATAATTCTTTTGCCAGTTACATATTAGGCTGTACCTAGGAAACAGTATTATACTAGAGGGGTTCCTGAACCTGGTCATTTATACAATTTCTTATTTTAGAGTTCTGAAGAAAGTACAGTCCAATAGGATTTTTAGAGAAAAGAATATTGATATAAACTATATCTGACTTGGAAAACTACTGCAAATGATAAAAATTACTAAATTCATAAGAATATATTAAGTAATAAAAATGTTAGACAAAATTGCAACTTTGTTATTTTACAAGTATGTAAAAATGTATAAAATCCTGCATGACATAAGTAAAATTAACATTAATAAACATTTCAGCACTATGAATTTCCCAATTAGAAGATGGTTGATATTTTCATGGCTCTATCTTAGTTGTTATTACTTTTTGCTATACTGTAAATCAAAAGAATCCTATGACCTCGTGTATGTTAGGTTCGGCAAACACTCTACCGTGGCCCTGCCCTTTGTGACTTCTGTTTAAAGAATAACCAAAATTAATGAGAAAAATCTTACCTTACTTGACTCTCTGCATTAGCTAATTGAACTCTGTAAGGCACGGCATCCCCTGGTTCTTCAAGTTCTGCTTCATGACTCTTATAAATTACATGTTACATAGTATTAGTATGCACAATTCAGTAGCCAGTTAATTGTTATAATAGTTCTTCCTACAAGTGACTCTCTAGCTATATCATACATGTTCCAGGGAAACCAAAATCAACTGTTCTTACTTGAGGATACTAAATTTATTCAATTGTCACATTTGTGGCCGATAATAGTAATACATGCAATAACTGTCAATCCCAGGAGATTATTGACTACCACTTTTCCGGTTTTCTTACTGTTATGTCTCCCACTTATTCAAAGAATCAAAATTTTAATGAATGGTGTGTGTGTGTGTGTGTGTGTGTGTGCATGCGGTGTGTGTTTCGCTTGACTAATATCTCCCATTTACTCAGAGAATAAATAAAGCATTAATTGAGCAAAGCGGTCACAGAACAACCAAGAGATGGGCTCTACATCCTTATAATTTTCTGAAACAGACATCCAAATAAGTAACTAGGGAGTCAAAATGCAGGGACTGGACTACATCTCAGTCATTTGGTTTGAGATAACTTGGCTGTCACTAATTCCACTGTAATTTCTAGGGATATGGTGACAATATTATTAAAATTCTATTACACCATAAATAGTATCTTTAACCTTAACACCAAATTATACTAATGATTTTGTAGAAACTACATTTATACCTAAATAAGATCCCATGTAATGAAACTGACCTTTTAGTGAAAGCCTGAGAAAACAAAGAACTAAAGAGACACCAAAACCTGTGCTCTATTAACTAACACAGCAGAATATTTGCTCACATCCCATAACACATGCCTCCAAGAAAGTGGCCATGGTAACTTACTCTCTGTAATAAACCTTATAGCTTTAAATTAACCAACAAACCGGAATCTAATCAGGAAACTCTCTGATGAATTTTTAATACAATCTTACTGATAATGCTAAGAAAACATCACTATTTTATACTTTTTATATTGAAGACTTTATATGATCATTATATACTTACACTATCCAGTTCTACTATTGTTAGTGATGGTGGAGGTCTCTTTATATTCACTTTTTCTACTGGCATAAAAAGAGGTGGGTATTGTACTTTAATCTCTTCAACTAGGAAGTAAAATTGGAAAACAATATTACTAAAGAACAGGCCTGATAATTTGCTGTATAGAAACAATACTGTCAAGAGTAAAAGAACAGTCTTCCATGAATCAACACAAAGATGGAAACACTAGCAAATTCTTCAGCTCAAGCAAAACATAAATTATTTTACATTGTCTTTTACATGAAGCTATTTCAGTGAAAGCAAGGTGTTATAGTAAATACAAGGAGATGGAGTTTCATAGTCTAGACCAAAAAGATACATGGACAAAAGCTAAATGCATGTGTTAATTAGTTCTTGTTTATATAATTTAAACAATAATTCTGAAATGATCTAGTTAAAGCTCAACTGACCATCACTATCAGCATCACTTTCATTTTGAGACCATTGTTCCTCCATAGTACCTTCAGAGGGATGTGGGGTCATACTTGGTAGTAAGCTCTGAAGTTGCTCCTGTGGAGTTCTACAAAACATCAAAGATGCAATTAAAAGAGAAAAACTTAAATAGAATTTATCCAGACAAGATGTTTACTTTTCAGCTTACCTGAAAAAGGAGGAGCTAACGGGCCACCAGACTGATAGCTGGGAAGCCAGCATGGGACTGACTCAGGCCACCCTGAATATGGGTCTCAGCCAGAAAGACTGAGCAGTCTAAGGGACCTCAGACAATGGAGCCAGGATGTATCCCTGGTGCACAAAAGGTCCTTGGGAACACATCCCCCAAGAAGGGATAACTGCCTTAATCTAGAGACAGGAGAGAAGCCCTAGTCCCTACTTCACATGACCTGTCAGATCTACATGACCCCAACTGGATGGCATTCCCCTACATATGGAATTGGGGTGGGGGGATGGGAGGGGAGGGTGGTTAGAGTGCAGGTGAGAGGGCAGAGAAGGTAAAAATGAGGGAAGGAGGGAAGGAGGAAGGGGGAAAGGGGAAAGGGGGAGGGAGGGAGAGGGAATTGGGATCGACATGTAAAATAATAAATTAAATAAAAAAATTGCTTTGACTCCAAAATTTAAGTTCAAGGACAAGTTACTGGAGAAAAGGATTTCTATTTTTGTTTCCACAGAAAATGAAAAGCTGTGGATTCCTTCCAGACTAATATGGTTTGATCAAGCCAGACCACCTGAAACAGAGTATGAGGTGATCCTACATTCAAAACAGCTGGACAAAGCAGCCTTACAGACTACAGCCAGGATTTCTGCATCTTCTTAGAATTCCCGTGAAAATGCCCTTTACCAGCAGGAAGTAGTTTGGAAAGAACAATGTCAAAATTCCTAAATATTGTCTATAAATGTTTGTTTTCATTTAAATGGACTTGGTTATATAAAATAAATATATTTAAAAAATAAAAAAAGATGTTTACTTTTGAAGTGGGTGAGAATTCAAAATTAATGATGAAATTTTGACTATAATAATAATTTGAAGACTATTGTGATTAACATACTTCAATATAATGAAAGTTTTAAATCAATTTCAAATCACCCAAGGAGTTTTTCAATCACATACTGTGTTTTGCTTAAGATGAAGACCAAAGCCATCATACAAGTCAGCATTGTATCAGAAGCCACATGGTGTCCAAAAAACATGCCATGCTGTTGACAAAGGTAATTTACAAGTATATGTTTTATCTCACACATCTGGCACTATGTTAATGAGTTCTGAGGCATCTGGGGGGTATTTATTAAAACTTTCAAGACACTATAAGAATGTGAGATGTAATGTCTGTGCATCTATTACATAATTAACATCTAGGATGGATTTAACCTGCTTCATATGGAAAACATAATGATTGGGGATTCTCAGAGTTCAAGAGTATGTATTTAATTCTGGATGATATTCAGAGACTTATGAGTGTTAAGGTGAGAAGAGAGTTCATTCCTTAGTCAAATATGAATAGGATCACTGGCCTCATAAATCATGCAAGCTCGCATGTTCACCATGAAAAAGACAAGGGTGTCTTACTGATATTGTTAATGCTAAGAGTTAATATTTGTCCATCTTTACCCTATTTTTGGTATACTCATCTAGTCGTTAGATTAAATAATCTCTACTATGATGGACATTTAAAAAGGTGAAATTTAGGGGAGAAAGTGAAGATCCTACTTAGTCTAAGACTTAAGAGAGAACACAGCAAGAGCAGAAATCTGAGCAACTTGCCTTCTCAATCACACATTCCTAGCCAAGTTCTCATTTTGCAGTACCTCATTTCCTACACCTAAATACACCAACTGTGTTTTCTAATCTATTTACAAATTGAAAAATTACAAAATATTTTGAATGACTGAGCTTTGATTTAAAAATTCTTTTTATGTTTTTTGTTTTTAATTTTTTTCTCATTTTACTCCCTCCCTCTCTCCCACCCTCCCATGACCCCTGACCACCAACCCATCCCACCCCCCCACACTCCACAGGTAGGGTGATTCCTTCCAAGAGGGGACATCAAAATTTGTCAAGTCATTTGAAATAGGGACTAGGCCTTCCCTCCTGCCTCTAGGTTAAGGGGTATCCACCCTTTTAAAAATTCTTTGATTTACTCCTCCCAATCAGAGTTTAGCTATGTGATTTTTATTTGCAGATGATATAATAGTAAACATCAGCAACCCAAAAAATTCTACAGTGAACTCCTATAGCTGATAAACACTTTTAAGGAAGTTGCTGAATTCAAGATTAACTAAAAAAATCAATAGCCCTCTTAAACATAAATGACAAGTGGTCTGAGGAAGAAACCATGGAAAAACTACCTTTCATATTAGCCCCAAATAATATAAATTACTTTGGGGCAATTCTAGCAAAACAATTGAAAGACCTGTGTGGCAAGGACTTCAAGTCTTTGAAGAAAGAAATTGGAGAAGCATCAAGTGATGGGATGATCTCGATGTTACTGGATCAGTCAAGAGGAATAACAATAAAAATAGCCATCTTACCAAAAGCATTCTACAGATTCAACACTATCCCCAGTATAATTCCAATACATTTATTTTACAGAAATTGAAAGAACAATCGTCAACTTTATATGGAAAAAACAAAAACTCAGCATAACTAAAACAATCTTGTACAATAATATAACTTCTGGAGATATCACCATCCTTGATCTCAAGCTCTACTTCAGAACTGTCATAATAAAAATAGTATGGTGTGAGCATAAAACAGACAGGTGGATTAATAGGACAGAAACAAACATGTAGACTTAAATCAACAGATCTATGAACAATTGATTTTCCACAAAGAAGCCAAAATTATACAATGGACAAAAAGAAAGCATCTTCAACAAGTGGTGCTGGCATAAATGGATATCAGCATGTAGAAGGCTTCAAATAGTTCCACATCTATTACCTTGCACAGAACTCAAATACAAGTGGATCAGATACCTCAACATAAATCCAGTTACACTGAACCTAATAGAAGAGAAAGTAGGAAATAGCCTTGAATATGAAACAACTTTCAGAGCAGAATACCAGTAGCACAGATACTAAGATCAACAGTTAATAAATTGGACCTCATCAAACTGAAAACCTTCAGTAAGGCAAAGGTTTCTGTCAATAGGACAAGACAGCAACCTTCAGAAATGGGAAAAGTTATTCACGAACCGCACAACTTATAGGAGATGATCTCCAAAATATATAATGAACACAAGAACCTAGTCATCAAAAAAAAGAATAATTCACTTTTAAAATGGGGTACAGATATACATAGAGAAGTATCAAAAGATGAATCTGAAATGGCTAAGAAACTCTTAAGAAATGTTCAACTTCCTTTGCCATTAGGGAAAAACATATCAAAACAACTGTGAGATACCATCCTGCACTTCAGAATTACTAAGATCAAAACATTAATGGCAGTTTATGCTGGAGAGAATGTGGAGCAAGGAGAAAACTTTTCCATTGCTGGTGGGAGTGAAAACTTGTATAGCCACTTTAGAAATCAATATGGAAATTTTATTTGTTTGTTTTTCAAAAAAAAATCAGAATCAATCTACCTCAAGATTCTGCTATTCCACGCTTGGCTCAGTTACAATGAAAGGATGCTCAATTATAATGAAAGGTCACTTGTTCGACTGTATTCATAGCATTTTTCTTTGTGATAGCCAGAATCTGAAAATGACCTAGATACCCTTAAACTGAGGAATAGGTAAAGAAAACGTGGTATATTCAAAAATAGTTTATGCTGGAGAGCATGTGCAGAATATGGAACACTTCTCCATTGCTGGTAGGAGTGCAAACTTATATAGGCACTGTTGAAATCAATATGGCGGTTCCTCTGGAAAATGGGAACCAGTCTACCTCAAGAACCAGCAATTTCAGTCTTAGGCATATACCCAAAGGATGCACATTCATACAAGAACATCTGTTCAACTATGTTCATAGCAGCATTATTTGTAATAGCCATATCCTGGAAGCAACCTAGATGCCCTCAACCAAAGAATGAATAAAGAAAACGGGGTACATTTACACAATGAAAAAGAAAAAGACAAATATGGTATGTACTAACTGATATATATATCAGTCATAGAGCAAAGGTTTATCAGCCTCCAATCCACACCTCCAGAGAGGCTAGGAAACAAAGAGGACATACATGATCCCCCAGTGAAGGGAATGTGATAAGGCCCCTCAACAAATTGGGAAGATGGGGGAGGGGAGGGAGGAGAGAGAGGAGGGAGAAAAAGTGGGGAAGGAGAACATGAGGGATCAGGAAGATTGTGTAGCCAGATGAATAGAGAAGAGCAAGAAAAAAGACACATCAATAGAGGGAGCCATTGTAGGTTTAAAGAGAAATCTTGCACTAGGGAATTGTATAGAGATCCACAAGGATGACCCCAATTAGGAATCTAAGCATTAATGGAGAGGCTACCATAAATGTTCTTCCACTATAATGAGAATGTTGACTAACTTAAGTGTCATCCTAGAAACTTCATCCAGTAGCTGTTGGAAACACAAGCAAAGATCTATAACTAAGCACTGAGCTAAACTCCTGGAATCCAGTTTGAGAGGAATGAGGGGTCAAGAACATGTGAGAAAACCAACAGAAACAGCTGACCCGAGCAAGTGGGATCCCAGTCTGACAGCTAGGGAACCAACATAGTACCAAACCAGGACCCCTGAATGTGGGTGTCAGCTATAAGGACTGTGCATACTAAGGGACCTCTGGCAGTGGAACCAGGAAGTATCCTTAGTGCACAAATGGACTTCGGGAGCCCATTCCCCATGGAGGTAGTACTCCCTTAGCCTAGAGTCACTGGGGAGGGCCTAGACCCTACCCCAAATGACTTGACAGATTTTGATGATCCCTCTTGCAAGGCCTCACCCTCCATGGGGAGTGGATGGGAAATGGGATGGCTATAAGTTGTGGCATGGGAGAATGGGAGAGAGAGGGAACTAAGATTGATATGTAAAATAAGTCTGCTTCTAATTTAAATATAATTTATTAATAAAAAAGGAAATGTGTTGTATTTATAAAGTATTATTCAACTGCTAAAAATAATGACATCAATAAATTTGAAGGCAAAGGGATGAAACTAGGAAAAAAATCCTTACTAACCCATAGCCATAAATATAAACATGTTTTATATTGACTTATCAGTGAATAATAGCTGTAAAATGATCATGTTACAATCCACAGTCAGAGAGAGGCTAGGTAAAGAGGTGGACTCAAGGACAGACACACAGATCTCCCTGGGAAGGGGAAATAGAAGAGATCTCATGGGTGGACCAGGAACTGGTGGCAATGGTAATATGAGGTATTAGGTTTGAGAGTGTGATGGAGGAGAGAATACTGAAAGAGATGCCTGAAAGTGTCTGAAGGGCCATTCACATTCAGATGGAAACATGATGCAAGGGTAACTCCAGGGATCTACAAAGATGATTGCTGCTGAGATTCCTAACAATACCAGATATGTACCCTTGAACTGGCTAGCTCTTGTTACCAACCAAGCCACATAAACTTTGACCTATAGTCTATCTTACCTATGAAATTTGCTAGGCTAAGGGTTGCACAGAGTTTGTGAGAATGGCAACCAATGACTTTCTAGCCTCAGGCTCATATTCAAAAGAATGAGTCCACCCCTGACACTGCCTGGAGTGCCAGACCCTAGAGACTAGATGACTCAAAGACCTAGGATAGAACCAAACATGATTGAAAACAAGTCAATGTAATGATGCCTAAAAATATTCTGCTATACTCATAGATTATTGATTATCCCAGTTGTCATCAGAGAGGCTTCATCCAATAACTGATGGAAACAGATGCAAAGACCCACAGCCAATTTAGGCTGAATTTAGAGAATACCACTGAAGAAAGAAAGGAAGGACTGTATGAGCCAGAGGGGTCAAAGATTATCACAAGAAAATCCTCAGAATCAACTACCCTGTGCTCATAAGACCTTAGAGTCTGAACCAATAACCAGGGATCTTACATGGGACCCACCTAGGCCCTCTACATAGACATATAGATTGGACTACTTGTGGGACACCTAACAATGGGAGGAGGGGCTATCCCCAACACTTTGTCTGGCTCTTGGGAACTTAACTTCATACTGGATTGCCTTGCCAACCTTAATAAAAGAAGAGGTGCTCAGTCTTATTGCAACTAGATATGCCATGTTTCATTGATATCTATGAGAGTCCTGTCCCTTTTCAAACAGAGGAGGAGTGGACTGGAACGAGGCTGAGGGGAGGTGGGCAAAGAATATTAAATAATATAATGTATCAAAGGGAAACTTGCATTTGGTCACCAGAAACTATTTCCTAGCTTGAAATTAGTCTAATGTACTAATAATTCTCTGCATGGACACATAGTACAAATAAGCTATTATCCAAGTACTTACTGAAGCAAAGCAACTTTGTTTATTTTCATCTTTATTTTATAAGAAAAGATGTACAGAATTCTGTGAGCATGATTAAAGAGCAGGCACACTACAAATTAATTCTGAATTCAGTATATTAAACTTGAGAGAACATACCAATAAAATTTAAGAGCTTTGCTCAACTCATGAATAGGCAAGTAGCTAATCAGACACCAAGCCTTGTCTTCTGTTATTCCCACCCTAGCACCTCCCACAAAACTGTGCCACAAAAATAACAGTAGTCACCTCCTCTTCTTCCTTTCTTCAAAATTTACAAAATTTTTATTAAAATATTTTTGTTCGTGCCTGTGTGTGTGTGTGTGTGTTGTATAAACAAGTATATGTATATGCATGCTCATAGTGTGGAGATGTGAGAAGGCTGGCCATTTTGTTGTACAGAGACTGCCTCAGGTCTTAAACTTGCTTAGTCTTGACCTTGCCCAGTATAGGCTAGCCTGTCTATCCAATGAAACCAAAAGATCTGCTTATCTTTGCCTCCATGGCTATAGAACTATTACTATACACAGAATTTTTTGTGTGAGTTCTGGGAATTAAATTTAACTTCTTTGGCTTATAGCACAAATACTTCATAAACTTATCTATCCCTCATACTCCTTTTTATATAAATCATTTAAATATAAAATATATCAATCCAAGAGCTTATGGATGAGAGTTCCTAGCCCTAGGAAAGTATCCACTGCTATTACTTTGCCTAATAGACATAATATTTATCTGCTTTCTAAAGACAGATCCCTCTACCCATAGTTTAATGCAACCTCCAATCCTCATCAGAAAAGCTTCTTTGTACAGTGAACAACACTTCAAAAAGACTTGGAAATCAGAAATGAACAAATCATGGAGAATAAGTGTTTGTAAGAGTGCTCAGTCATAAGTGGGATAACTACCACATGCTCTCTCTTCCCAAGGCTAAGTGACCAACATGGAAGAGGAGACAGAATCCAAGGAACAGTAGGAAGAAACAATGTCTTCTGATGATGGCAGTGCCATTATATAGATAAATACAGGGTAGCTGCTGTTGCTTATGTAAGGTGTGAATATGATCAAACCAGTCAACATGTCAGTTGTGAGAAAAGATGGCATGAGAAAGAGGTACAGGAGTCCCACCCTAGCTGAGGCACTATTGGATGTTGACAGCTTCTGGGAAATTTGAGTTGATTTTCTTTAGGGGTGTGGTCCCATGGTGACCATGCTTTAACAGATGCCCCAAACCCCAACACATACACTCACTGGGTCAGCACTAATTAAACAAAAACAAAAAAGAAAGAAAAAAAGAAAGAAAGAAAGGAAGGAAGGAAGAAAGAAAATAAGAAAGAAGGAAAGAAAAAGAAAATGAAATAACCCTTTTCCTTGAAAAACTCAAATACTTAAATGTTTAAGTGCAACAGAACTATAAAATCATCAATGACAGCAAAGTAGAATCATGATAAGATTTAGGAAGTAGTTGGAGGCAGAATACCACTCACAAGAAATATGTTTGAGAATATGCCAATGATGAAATGGGCTACCCAAAAACAGAGTTTTTTTTTTTTTTTAATGATGATGTAACACAGGCATTCGGATGACTTTTCACCTTCATTCTAGAGAGTTTTCCCAGCAGTATGTCCTTCAAAATATAAATCAAAGGACAGCATCAGAATACCCCTGTAACTCAAGAAGCATTGTGAAATCTGGTACTTAGCATCAGATCTACTAAAGAATGCCATTCTCCCCCATCCTCTGGAAAATTAGAAAGAGCAATTAACTGTAGGCCTCTCTGCTATCTCATAAATTGAGCTTATAACATGACAAGTCAAAAATTCTCTAAACTTATATGTTGTTCAAATTACCAATGATGATAACATCTACTTGTCTATAATGTTAGCTTCATTTTGCAAATTTGATTTTTAAACAAATTACAAAGCCATGTATCTGACCAATGCTCTTTAAATAAAATAAACTGATTCAAATCAATAAAAGTTTTGTGTAAAATGAAAATAATTATTATAATTATTTTAATTTAATATAAAAGACATGTTTTAGATTAATAGATTTTTAAAATATAGCCCCAAATATCTGTGTTAAATCATGGCAAAGTCTCTTTGTCTTTTCTTTTCCTTTTTGGTGGGAGCTTGGTTTTTCAGACAGGTATTTTGTGTAGCCCTGGCTGTCCTGGAACTCACTCTGCAGACCAGCCTGACTTTGAATTCATACAATTTCACAACTGTGCCTGCCAAGGCTTCACAAGTGTTGGGATTATATATATATATATATATATATTATATTATATATATATATATATATATTCTATATATTGATCCCAGTTCCCTCTCCCTCTCATGCCCTCCAAACCCCCTTCCATCCCATTACCACCCCCCCCCCACACACACACACACACTCCAAGGTATGGTGAGGCCTTCCAGGAGGAATCATCAAAATCGGTCAAAGTCCTTTGGAGTAGGGACTATACCCTCCCTCTTGCCTCTAGGCTAAGGGAGTATCCCTCCATGGGGAATGTGCTCCCAAAGTCCTTTCGTGCACCAGAGATACATCCTGGTTTTATTGTCAGAGGTCCCATAGACTGCCCAGGCCTTCTAACTGAGACCCATCTTCAGGGGGTCTGAGTCAGTCCAATTCTGGTTTCCCAGCTATCAGTCTGGGGATCCATGAGCTCCCCCTTGTTCAGGTCAACTGTCTTTGTAGGTTTCTGTAGCCTGGTCTTGTCCCCATTTTCTTATCACTCCTCCCTCTCTGCAACTGGATTCCAGTTTGGCTCACTGTTTAGCTGTGGGTGTCTGCTTCTGTTTCCATCAGCTCCTAGATGAGGGATCTATGATGAGATGTAAGTTAGTTCTCAACTCATTATTAGGGAAGGGCATATATGGTAGAATTTCCACTGTTGCTTAGAGTATTAGTTGGTGTCATCCTTGTAGGTCTCTGCACATTTCTCTAGAGTCAGTTTTTTTCTTCAAACCCATAATGGATCCCTCTATTATGGTATCTTTTATTTATTTATTTATTTATTTATTTATTTATTTTTTTAATTTGGTCTACTACTGGGATTAAAGGCCTGCACCACCAGTGCCTGACCAGCAAAGTTTTCTTAAAGTAAATTTGCATTTATTTCATGATTCTGCTATTATTCATAAATTTCATGCTTTTATTTGTGCCTTTCTCCAGATACATATCTTTTTATACTTTTCAATGTTAAAATATACCATAAATATTTTTACATATAAATATTAGTAGTTAAAATTGTTGCTAATATGTCAAAGCTTCATAGGTTATAATATATTTATATTTAATAAGAAGCAAATATAAACAAATTTCTTCCTAAACCCACTTCCCACAAGAAATACAAGTAACTTCTATTTCCAAACAAATATCAATATTAAAATTCTACAACATACCTTCTGTGTTTTTTAAGCCATAATTTTTCCATGTAGGACAGACTGTCTTCTGTAAATTCTATGTTAATTGGTTCAGACCAAATTTTCAAATTAGTTTGTACTTCACATTCTTCCACTGAGTCTATAAAAATAAACACTGTACATAATTAATGTAGCCATGCCTATGAATTAACATATCTTTTCTTTACATTATTAAGTATTCATGGAGATCAGTTCTTTGGTATCTATCCCAGTAAGTATATTTGCCACTATTATATTATGACATACGATATTAATGTAATATCAAGCCCTACATGTAAATAATACTAAAGGGCTTCTAAAGCATTAGAATAAATAAATGAGACCGTGCACAATATCTTCAAATCCTCTTGAAAGAAAAAAGATCTTATGAATTAAAAGCTTTTCAAAGCATCATTCTCTTAAATGAAACAGGTAAATAAATCCCTGTGCATCCCACACACACAGCATATACATATAATAACAACAAAGGTATATATTACTCAATAAATCAGAAGATAAAGGAGCTGATAAAAAAAATTCAGAGAAACATCACCTTTTAAAATTGCCACAAGAAACCTATATATAATATAAGAACTTTAAGCCTTTAAAGAAAGAAAGAAGATACCAGAAAATGGAAAGATCTCCCATGCTCTTGGATAGGTAGGATCAACATAGCAAAAATGCCAACCTTGCCAAAAGCAATTTACAGATTCAATGCAATCCCCATCAAAATACCAGCACAATTCTTTACAGACCTTAATAGAACAAAACTTTATATGGAAAAACAAAAGTCCCAGGGTAGCTAAAACAATTCTGTACAATAAAGGAACTTCTGGAGGCATCACCATCTCTGACTACAAGCTCTATCGTAGAGTTATAGTCCTGAAAACAGCTTAGGATTGTCACAAAAATAAACAGGAAGACCAATGGAATTGAATTGAAAATCCTGCTATTAACCCACACAACTACAAACTGATTTTTGACAAAGCAGCTAAAATTACACAATGGAAAAAAGAAAGCACCTTGAATAAACGGTGCTGGCATAATAGGATGCTGACTTGTAGAAGATTGCAGACAGATCCATATCTATAGCCATGCACACAACTTAAGTCCAAAAGAATTAAAGACCTCAATGTAAATCCAGCCACACTGAACATCTTAGAAGAGAAAGTGGAAAGTACCATTGAAGAATTGGTACAGGAGACCTCTTCTTGAACATAAAACCAGTAGCACATCCATTGAAATCAACAAGTAATAAATGGGACCTCATGAACTTGAAAACCTTCTGTAAAGCAAAGGACATAGTCAAGAATACAAAACAGCAGCTCAAAGAATGGGAAAACATATTCACCAACCCCACATATTACAGAGGACTAATCTCCAAAATATACAAAGAACTCAAGAAGCTAGTCACAAAAACACAAAATAATCAAATTAAAAAGTGGGGCACAGAACTGAGTAGAGAGTCTAAAATGGATGAAAGACACCTACATAAATGCTCAACATCCTTAGCCATCAGGGAAATGTAAATCAAAACAACTCTGAGATATCATCTTAAACCTGTCAGAATAGCTAAAATCAAAAACACTAATGACAGATTATGCTGGAGAAGATGTGGAGAAAGGAGAATACTCCTTCACTGCTGGTGGGAGTGCAAACTTGTACAGCCATTTTGGAAATCAATATGGCAGTTCCTCAGGAAAATGGGAATTAGTCTACCACAAGTTCCAGCAATTCCACTCTTGGGCATATACCCAAAATTTGCACATTCATACAGCAAGGAGATCTATTCAACTATGTACATAGCAGCATTATTTGTAATAGCAAGAAACTGGAAGCAACCTAAATGCTCCTCAACTGAAGAATGGATGGAGAAAATGTGGTACATTTACACAATGGAGTACTACTCAGTGGGGGAAAAATGAAATCTTTAAATTCTTAGGGAAATGGATGGAAATAGAAGAAACCATCCTGAATTAGGTAACCTAGTCACAAAAAGACAAACATGGTATGGACTAACTCATATATGTATTTTAGATATAGAAAAGAAAGGATTGCCAGCCTACAATCCACACCACCAGAAAATCTAGGAAACAAGGAGGACCCTAAGAGAGACATACATGGTCCCCTGGAGAAGGGGGAAGGGACAAGATCTCCAAAGCAAATTGTGAGCATGAGGGAAGGGGAGAGGGAGTTAGGAGGAAGAGAAGGGAGAGGTAGGCATGCGGGAGCAGGAAGAGTGAGTCAGGGAGAGAATAGAGGAGAGCAAGAAAAGAGATAACATAATAGAGGAGGCCATTATAACATTTAAGAGAATCTGGCACTAGAGAAATGTCTAGAGACCTACAAGGATGACCCCAAATAACAATCTAAGCAATACTGAAGAAGCAACCTTAAATGTCATTCCCCAATAATGAGATTGATGACTACCTTATATGCCATCCTAGAGCCCTCATTTAGTAGCTGATAGAAGCAGAAGCAACATCTACAAGTCAGTCAATACTGAGCCAAACTCCTGGAATCCAATTACAGAGAAGGAGGAGTGATGAGCAAAGGCATCCAGACCAGGCTGGAGAAACCCACAGAATATGCTGTGCTGAACAAGGGAGAGCTCATGAACTCCAGTCTGATAGCTGGGAAACCAGCATAGGACAGACCTAGACTCCTTGAATGTTGGTGTTAGTTAGGAGGTCTAGGCAATCTATGGGGCCTCTGGTAATGGATCAGTATTTATCCTTAGTACATAAATGGACTTTGGAAGCCCATCCCACATAGAGGGATACTCCCTCTGCAGAGACACATGGGGGAGGGCCTACGATCTTCTCCAAATGATATGACAGACTCTGAAGACTCCCCATGGAAGGCCTCACCCACTCTGGGGAGCAGAAAGAATATGGGATAGGGGTTGGTGAGGGGAAGAGAGGAGGATGGGTGGGTGTGGGAACTGGGATTGACATGTAAAATAAGCTTGTTTCATATTTAAATAATAAATAAAAAGATGATTTTTTATGCAAAAAAGTTGTATAGTACAACCACTTCTTATAATGTTTACACATTGATGGGAGATGTCATTATGTATATATGTTTCTTATACTGGTTAATGAATAAAGCGCTATTGGAAGGTAGGAAGGACTAGGAGACAAGGAGGAAAGATAAAGTAGGAAGAAAGAGCCAAGATGGAGAGTCTGGAGAGAGCAGTACGCGGCAGCTGGCTCCGGGTAAGACCACATGGAAATACATAGATTAACACAAATGGGTTAATACTTAAGACAGAGCTAGCCGATAAGAAAGTAGTAACTGGCCAACAGTATAATATCAAATACAGAGTCTCTGTGTGTTATTTGGGGCTGGCGCGGCAGCGGGACAAGACTGGCGGTGGGCGTTAAAAACTGTACTTCTTACAACAAATTATGTGTAATAGAAAATTAGTAATTCATAATGAATTTTATCTTATTCAGAATGAAAGAATAATCTATCCCCACGAACATTTGCCTTTGAAGTCGCATACATTTGAATGCTCTCATTTCTGAAACATCACAAACTAAAAAATCACTCAAAGGTATTTGAAAGTAATGACTCTCTGTGGAAAGGATGCTAACAATTCTGGGACTGGTAGCTTTTCCACCCTCCAGATACTGCCCCATTCTCTAGCTAGAAGAAAATCCTGGGGAAAAAAATATGAAAACCAAGGGGTAAAGATTTAGAACAAAATTTTTAGGTGTTCTAATGCTAAGCTGATCCTAACCTCAGATTTCAGACTTCAGTGGTTAGCATCCAGGAACAGCTAAATGGCAGTAGATGAATAAGCCAAAAGAATGGAGTTATTCAATTGCTATCCTCCAGAGAGTATTGTAGCATTGAGGAAAAGACAGAGAAGGAATTTTGAGAGCAAACCCTAGAATCAATCAAATGAGAGAAAAAAAGAAATAAGAATGTAAATTGTGAATATGAACATATGATGGGAGGGGCAGGGTGTGTGTGTGTGTGTGTGTGTGTGTGTGTGTGTGTGTGTGTGTGTGTGTGTCTTTGTGGGCACATTTGTGCGTAATGAAATTAAAGGAATTGAGGCAGAAAAGCTAGAGGTAGGAACAAGGAAAGGAATACTAAAGTTGGCTCTTTTTGTAGTCAAGAACTACTCTGCTTGAGAAATGGCTCCCGAGTCAGAAAAAGTGATAAGGAGTAGGGGATAAAGTAAGTGGCATGTGGTTCCCTTTTCTCCAAAATTCACCAGTAGCACAATCTCAGGAAATAAAGATGAGACCCAGCCTGGCTTCTTGTGCTTGACAGTATCTTTGATAACTGTGTCTTATGACAAACGTATATTTTCTAGGAAAGGGATCTTCAGTTAAGTAATTGTTAAGCAAGACACTTCTTCAGTTAAGTAATTGTTAAGCAAGACAGTATCTAAAATCATGTGTGCTAGTCAATTCAGGGGCTTACAGTTGTATGAGGTGTGGTTCATCAAAGAAAGGCCTCATGTGTTGTCACTTGGGCTTTGCTTACTTTGTTTCTGGCTCAGCAGTGTTCTTTTCTAGAAATTTGTCTACCGTTCATCTCATTCATATCATGGGCATTTTCCTTAACACACAGCACAAAAATCCTAGAGTAAATGGATGCCTGAAGCATTTGAGGAACACTCAGGAGACCAGAGTAGAGGAGACAAAATAAGCCAGTGGGAACATTGCAATGGAGGTCAGAGAGAAAAGGGCCTGAGTTCACATCAAAGCCCAGGGCCAGGAAAGCACTGAAAGGAGTCTGTGCGTGACTGAAATGAATCAAGGTAGAAATCAGTGACTGAAACAGCTGAAGAACCTGGAAGTTTAAAACACACTGATTAAACACAAGGATTCCTAATGTAATTTGTAAAAATGTATACATAAGCATAGTAATCATTTCTGTTATTGAAGCAAAATTGTAAGTACCTGAAAATATTAAGTGATGTTCATAAGGGGAACAACAAAAATCTCTCCTATACTTCATATGGAGTACAAATTGTTGTAGTTATTTTTTCTGGCTAGTTCATGTTTGTCTAGTTTAGTGGATGACATACATTACTGATAAGGTAGCTGCTCATATCCCTGGAAATATGTTCAGATTATACTTCAAGACAGTACAATAAAATGTATAATAGTATTTTTTGTCATGGCAAAAAGAAGAAATGCCCTACACAATCATCAATATTTAAACTGAGAAATAATAACACATTCACATACTTAGAGATTAGCACACATTGAAAATAGGTAAATTACGACATATGCATTTTCAGGCATGAAATGTGACACATGGTAAGAGCACAGAATTCGGCGGATGTAGCTACACTTTTCTCATAGTGAGATTAATGCCTTGATATGAGAGTTTCCTGGAAGTACTATGGTGATAAATATGCTTTCATAACACATACACTTTAGATCGAGTAAGCAAATCTGTATCTGAAATGTGTATTTTCTCATGAAGATAAATCACTACAGTCTTCATGATAGAAAAATGTTCTATATAACGATTCTTACTGTGAGACCCTTGTTTCCTACTCACCAAATCAGCCTCATGACAACCATCTAATGGCCAACCAGTGTCTATGTGTAGATTCAGAGAAACAAAGGTGCTGTAGACTACACAATGCTACAAAGTCTAAGAGAGATAATGTAAGTCTGGAATCAGACAGTGAAAGAATATCCTAAGCTCACCACATGAATTACACCACTATTTCTGATTATACTTGGTGACAGAAGTAGAAAAAAAATGTATTTACTGAGTCAAGAATCACCACACTAGAGCCTGTAGTCCAAATCTGACCAATAACTTTCCTATGACAGAATTTTTGTGTTTATAAGTACAAGGTTTTATAGCAACACAGTACACACAGTCATTCATGTGTTGTCTATGACCTTTTCTATACTCTAATCAAAAGGTTGACTAGCTGACCTTGCTTACAGCAAATGTTTATCATGTTCTGTAGTAGGTCAAGAGCATCTCTTCAGTTACAAATACTGTGGTGCCTTTTTCAGTAAAGATATAGAATCTAAAAAGCAACTGTGGTGAGTATGATAAACATTATGCTAGTGTAGTCAGCCTCTGAACATTGTCTTTTGTACTGAAAAAGTATTGATGACAAGATTGTTCATAATCTTCCAAAACATAGTTGCTTCAGGCATTTCATTTTAGCATATGAAAGCTTTGGAAAGGGAGAGGAAATTCTAGGAACTTCTCCTCACGTACTAATGTATCAAGTTTTGTATCACCTCTAAGACTTATAATGCAAGATTCTTTCAAGATTTATGTCTACGGCAATAAGTAAATATTTCCAATGCACCCAAATTGAAAAAAATTAAAACAAGGCTACATCTTTTACTTCATATGCAATAAACCATTATAAACTCAAAATTGGAATTTAAATGTGTCTGAAGTTCTAAGCATTGCTTTTACTTCATCGCATAGCCTAGTTACATTCTACTCATATACAGGTTGTCTTAGGGTTACTATTACTATGATGAACCAAAAGCATGTTGGAGAGGAAAAGGTTTATTGTGCTTTTACACTTTATTATTCAGCACTAAGGGAAGTCAGTATATGAACTCAAACAGGGCAGGAACCTGGAAACAGTAGCTGATGTACAGGCTATGAATAATGCTACTTAGTGCTTTTCTCCTTTGGCTTGCTTAGACTGTGTCTTATAGAACCAGCTTAGAGATGCTCCCCCAATCCCCTCCCCGACAATGGGCTGGACCTTCCTACATAAATAACTAATTTGGAAAAATCCCTATAGACTTGCCTTACATCCAAATATGATGGGGACATTTGCTCATCTGAGATTAGTTTCTCTCAAATAATTCAAGTTTGTGTCAAGTGGACACAAAAATTATCCAGTACAGTTTGTATGAATATATCATAAAGAAATCCATATTTTATAAGTAAACAAAAAATTGAAACTAAAATTTGTGAATGTATTTTTAAGTAAAAACATATACTGCAAATAAAAATATATTCTTTCTGTGAGGTTCACTGTGGTCATATATTCAACCTGCAAGCTATGGTTTATGGATTAGATACAAGCATTTGATCTCTCACTCTCTCAGTTCACAGTGCTGTTTTGGAGGCTGTGCAATTCGAGGAGGTTGAGTCCTCATTGGAAGAAGTTAATCTCCTGGAGGCATGCTGTGAAGTGTGTAGCAGTATTCTACTTCCTGTCTTGTCTCTGCTGCCTGTTCTATGGTGATGTAAGAAATAAGGAGTCCAGCCATCTTCTTCTGTGGCCTTGAAGCCACCTGCTGCTGTCTTCCCCTATCCTAATGGACTGAATCATCTCCAACTGTGAGCCAAAATAAATTGTTCCTCCTGTAGGTTGCTTTGTCAGAGATTTGGCTACACTGAAAAGAAATGTTACTGATCTAATGCATATAAAGAATCATTTGATTTCACGCTCCACAGACTCTCCCACCTGATATACTGTAACAGTAGATATAAAATAGAATTGTTTTCTAATGACTGTTTCCTGGCAGGAAAAGAAAAGCTGAGACTCCAATGCTGCATTCATCTCATGATCTGAATTTACATAGAAAATCAAGGTAAACATCATCCATGATCAATTCATGCTTTATAAATATTAAACAACTCACCACTTACTGCCTACTGTGTACACAAAGCTCCCTTGAGAAGCTGTAGCAAATTGTTCTTTATTGTCTTTATTCACTGCATTTGTATTGCCAGGAGTAGAAAGAAAGGAGATTTTTTATTTTGTTCTTTGAATATTTGAACAATGCCCATACCTGGTTTTGTTGCATGTATGTCCTGTTGCTTGTTTTCCTCCTGTTGTCCAGCTCGCCACTGAGTTAAGGCTTCCTGAAAGGACTTGGCAGAAGCTTCTTCATCAAAAGGCATTTCACACAAGGGCTTGTACTTTGGATTTGTACCTTCTCCCCCTTTTGCTGCTGTAGTTTCTACCTAACCAGTTAAGAATGTGACAAAGAGTGATTACTAAACTTCCTGCATCTTAAAAGAAAGACATGAAAAGCAGGTATATTTCATTCAGAAATATTTTTGTATAACACACATCTAAATGCTTTATTAATTTTTAAAACTTTATTGGTAGTTATGAATGGTCTCAGAAGTTAATAATGGAAGAGCATATACAACTGATGACTTTCTCCATGCTCTTCTATCTATGCTCTTTGCCCTCTATATCTGTTCCAGTTATGTATGCATTATCCATCCTTTCTCCTTTCCCATCCTGTTTTCTTTACAACCCTTCCACATTGGAGCAGTTTTTGTGTTTAAGAGTCAAATTCTCTATGTAGCCAAGACTGGTCTCAAATTTGAGATATCCCTACTTTGGCTTCCTGAGTTACAGAATTATAGGCATGCAATTATAGCAGTAATATGTATGCTTGTGTGAATTTATGTATTCTAATATGAATCTCGTGATGCCAGTGCACTTAAAACCTTTTGATTCTCTGAAATTCAGCATATCTGTCCTGACATGCAAAATGGCTAAAGTGCTTTCTTCTTCCTTGTCCTATAAAACTTCTCCTGTTTTCTCTATCATTTGCCTATTCCAGCTATACTCACAATCTTGGAGAAGTGAGAAACATCAGGTAGGTTTCCTCTTTAGGGCACTGTCCTAGTTGGGATTCCTTCCCACAGCTTTACCCAGGCATTTTCCTCATGCCATTCAATTTCTCAAATGTCTCTTTCCTAGAGAGTTCTCCCCTGAGGATAGTGAAGATTCCTAACTCCTAATACATAGACACTTGTTCAACCATGTTCATTGTTGCTCTGTTCAAACAGTAAGAAATTGGAAACAGCATAGATGTCCATCAATTAATGAATGAATAATGAAAATGTGAAACATTAATATTAATACAATGGACTATTACTCCATTGTTAAAAAAAACAAAAGAAACATGAAATTTGTAGGTAAATGGATGATGCTAGAAAAAAATCATTCTGAGTTAAATAACTCATATCCAAAAAAGACAAATACGATATGAAACTTTTACATGTGGATGCTGTCTTTGAAGCAATCAATAAGCATGGTACTCCCTATGCAACCACAGAGGCTAGACATGGAGTAAAGGACTAAGGGAGAGGGAAGGAAATCATAAGGTGTGGGAAGCAGAAATAGAGATGGGGTGTAGAGGATCTTGGAAGGGATGATAATGGAAAAACTATGATCAGAATATACTGTGTGAAAAGAAAAAAGACAAAAAGTCTATGATCTAGATAAAATAGTATGATGATTTTATTCTATATATCATATTACAATTTTAAGGCTGTAACTTATCCAGTGATGATTTATAGTACATCTTTGAATGGTCTATAAGAAAAATAAATACATGAAATGTGTCATTTTCTGGAAAAGTTCACACCCAGCTTCTGTTAAGGAAAGAGGTCATGCTGAAGTACAACACTTATGTACATAAATTTGAAGCTCAAGAGACTTCAGTTCAACCCAAGTGTAGCCATCAAGTAGCAAACCAATGTGACTAGCTAAGTAAACCACAATCTGTAACAGCTGGGAAAAAAATGAGTACCACATAGGGGAACGAGAATTACTATGTCAGTCAAATTAGAGTTTGTTTCTTGCTTAAAATGCAATAGAAAGGGATTCCTTCTCTGGAAATATCCCACTTTTGAGGGGCTTATTTTTTTTTCACTTTTCCTCAATCTGTTGTTTAAAAAATGATATGAATCAGGTATCTCTTTCTTGCTATCTTTCTCTACTTTTCCCTCGCCTCAATCTTCTTGATCCCTCATATACTCCTCTGCCTCTCTCCTTCCTTCCCATCTCCCCTTGTGCTGCCAATTCCCAGGAGATCTAGTCTCCTTCCCTTTTTCTAGATGTTGATGTATGTCTCTCTTAGGGTTCTCCTTGCTTCCTAGCTTCTCTGGGGTGGTGAATTGTAATCTGGAGATCCAAAGCTAAACACTGAGCTGAACTCCTGGATCCTAATTGTAGAGACAGAAGAAGGATGAGCAAAGGTGTCAAGACCATTCAGAGCAAACCCACAAAAAGCATCTGACCTGAGCAAATAGGGGTGCAAGTATAAGTCTGACAGTTGGAAAACCACCATAGGTCCCAAATAGGCCCCCTGAATGTAGGTGTCAGCTGGAAGACCAGGGTAGTCTATGGGACCTCTGGCAGTGGAACTAGTATTTATCCATAGTGCACTAATTGACTTTGGGAGCCCACTCCCTGTGAAGGATATTCTCTCAGCCTAGATATATGGGGGCACCTAGGCTCTGCCCCAAATTATGTGACAGATTTTGAAGATCCCCCATGGGAAGCCTCTCCCTCCCTGGGGAGTGAATAAAGAGTGGGATGGGGGCTGGGGGGGCATGGGAGGGAGAGGAAACTGGGATCAGTATGTAAAATAAGATTGTTTTTAATTTAAATTTAAAAAGAAAAAAGATATGAATCTATTACATATATCTATACATTTACAGAGGTGAGGGTGATGTGAAAATAAAAGTAGCACAATGTATGATCAGTAATCTGAATTACTGCCAGATGTTGTATTCATCTCCCTTTACACACTGATGAGAATGCTTGTCACCTTTGTATTTGGAGCATGTGAAAGTTCTAATTAATACAAAATTGTTATATGATATCCTAGCTTTTATTTTATAATGTTTCTCTCAAGCATTCCTACAATCCCTGATATGGTCAAAATGCTCAGAAAAATCAAATCTTCAATTTTTTTTCATTTAAACGAACAATTTTCAGAGGAATTAAAGTAATCTTAAGATAATTTCTACAGTCTAAATATATTCAACTACTAAAATAATTAAATAATAACTAGCAATATTGTAAGGTAATATCCCCAAATGTGCATCTCTGGCAAAGTATATGAATGGCTGTCACCATATATAGAAGAAGAAGTATACTACTTTGTTCACCTCAGTTTACCTCAGAGATCTTCTCCTGAAGAAGTGGAGCTTTGGGTTTCTGCTGACTTTTAGTGGATGCTTCTGTGGAAGTAATCACTTCATTGGGTGGATTTGCTTCTTTTATAAACTGATGAGCAACATCTAGCACATTGGATAAGATTTGAGACTTTGCCTATGAAAAAAATGAAAAGTGTTGTCAAGAAGCTTAATATGGGAGCCTAAGTAGTTTACAAACAATAAATCAAGTTTTCAGTGTTGTATGACTCATTAAATTCAATAAAATTTAACTTATATTTAAAATGGAAAACTCGAATTTTTGTTTTTATTATTTGAGATCATAATATAATTGTATTATCTCCCCATCCCCATTCTCCTTTCTAACCTTCCAGCACATTCCTCCTTATTCCCTTTCAAATACTTGCACATGGGGCTGGACAGATGGCTTAATTGTTAAGAGTACTGGCTGCTCTTCCAGAGGTCCTGTGTTCAATTCCCAGCACCCACATAGCAGCTCACAAACATCTGTAATGAGATCTGGTGCCCTCTTCTGGCCTGCAGGCAGACATGCAAGCAGAACACTGTATAGGTAATAAATAAATAAATCTTAAAAAAAAATACATGTACATACATTTACTTTCCCAAATACACCCTGGTCAGTCTGTATAGTGATACTGGATATACATTTTCAAGGCCCACGATTTAGTATTCGATGAACAATTGGTGTGCTGTTCCCTGGGGAAGTTGATTTCTTCCTTGCTTACCTGCAGTTCTTTGTATATGACTGAGGCCTAGTGAACTTGTCCTCCAAGCACTTTAACATATCTACTGTTATTTTCTTTGTCAAGCTCATTTTAGGCATTCATGTTTGTGAGAATTTATGGCTACAGCATTTAGCATTACTAGAAGAAACAATCCTCCCACAGCAAACTTTTTTTTTTTTTGTCCCCTATTTCTCGGGGCTAGAAGTTGTAGAAGTTGTCTTTTTATGTGTATTAATGAGAACTGAAAGATATACTTCCACATTTTGATTGGTTGTTAATTTTTGTAATGGTCCCTATCTCTTCCAAAGAAAAGTTTCCTTATTACAGTGTAAACTCTACACTTACCTGTAGGTAGAGGGTAGTGAACAAATACTTAAAATGTAGTTAGGGAAAATACTGGCTTAGTAACCTGTAAATTTTAGGTTCTCCTCCATAAGTTCACTAGTCTTCAGTAGTAAGGTAGTGTTCCAGTACCAGGAATGATTTCCTTTTTGTTTGGCAGGTCTTATGTTCAGTCAAAAAGCTATTGTTACTGCCAATATGTGGGAGAAAATACTACAAATTGTACCTTGTTGGAAGTTGTGGTTCATGGACAACACATAGCTTGGAAGAACTGCTTCCCTCCTTTGGAAGCTTGGATGGTCCCTTATTATGTCAATCACCCCAACAGTGGCAGCCATCTCATAGAAGTATTTGGAACTCATACTATTCTAAGCATGTTTAAAAGATTATGTTACAAAATCATTTTTGTTGTCATTTTAAGGATGAAGTAACTCAAGTTCAGAAAGTTAAAATAACTAACTAGCCTTTGGTCAAATAGTCAGTGGGAAGCAGAACAAGGAGGTGTGTAAACCTAAAGAATCACAGCCTTTCCACTATGCTGCCCTCAACTAGAACCCCATATTACTCTGTTACATGCACTTTCTACCAGTCTGGTCCCACAGCCATGTTAGCCCCAAACTCCTCTTGCCTCCTGCATTTCGACTCCTCTCTACCTCATCTCCCAGAATCCTGCTTGTCTCCTAGTCCCACCTATCTTGCTTCCCTATAGGCCAACAGTGCTTTATTCATTAACCAATAAGAGAAGCATATTTACAGAAGGACATCTCCCATCATTGCTTTATGCAGTCTGTGGCAAAAACAAAAACAAACAAATAAAAACAATCCAATCACCATATAAATCCCAACAAAATTTTTATAGGTCTTGAAAGGACAAGACTCATCTTCATATGTAAAAACAAAAAAATCCATGGTAGCTAAAGTACTCCTGTACAATAAAATAATTTCTAGGGGAATCACCATCCCTGATCTCAGGCTCTACTGCAGAACTATAGTAATAAAACCAGCATGGAATTGGCATAAAATTAGACAGGAGAATCAATGGGATCAAATCAACACATATATGAACCCTTGATTTTTGACAAAGAAGCCAAAGCTATACAATGGAAAAAAGAAAGTATCTTCCATAAATGGTGCTGCCCTAACTGGATACTGGCATGTAGAAAAATGCAAACAGATCTACATCTATCACCTTGTAAAAATCCCAATACCAGTGGGTCAAAGACATCAACATGAATCCAGTTACACTGGAACTGATAGAAGAGGAGGAAATATCTTTGAATACATTGGCATAGGAGACAACTTCATGAATAGAACACCATTAGCACCAACACTAAAAGTGACAATTAACAAATGGGACCTCCTGAAACTGAAAAGCTTCATTATGGTACAGGACACCATCAACAGGACAAACAGCAGCCTACAGAATGTGAAGATATATAAAGAAATTAGACTTGGAAAGACAAGTAGTCTAACTTAAAAATGGAGTACAAACCTAAATAGAGAATTCTCAACAAAAGATCCCAAAAGGCAGAGAAACATGAAAAATATACACTGTGATTCCATCTTATACCGGTCAGAATGGCTAAGATCAAAACCACTATTGACAGCCTATACTGGAGATGATGTTTAGCAAGGGAACATTCATCCATTTCTAATGGTAACGCAGACATGTACAACCACTTTGAAAATCAGTATGGTGGTTTTTCAGGACATTCAGAATCAATCTACCTCAAGACCCTTCAATACCACCCTTAGGCATATACCCAAAGGATACTCAATTTTACTAGAAGGACACTTACTAAACTATGTTCAGCAATTTCATGTGTAATAGCCAGTATCTGGAAACAATCTAAGAAGTCCTGAAACTGAAGAATGGATAAAGAAAATGTGGTTCTTTTCCATAATGGAGTATTACTCAGCTGTTAAAAACAATGACATCGGGAAATTGAAATACAAATTGTTAGAATGATGGGAGATGTTTTTCTGTATATATGTTTCTCTGATTGGTTGATGAATAAAGGACTTATTGGGAAGTAGCCAAGCAGGCAATAGGTGGGTTACCAGACCAGAGGAAGGCTGGAGAAAGGAAGGTAGAGAAGGCTGCCAAGAGATGCTATGCTGCCCAGGGAGTTACATGCAGAATTATAGGTAAACCAAATCCTCACTCATGAGTGGCTGTTAGCTGTAAAGGATAACCATACTGTCCACAAACTCAAAGAGGCTAAGTAACAAGGAAAGCTAAAGGGGGATGCATGAATCTCCCTAGGAAGTGGAAATAGAAGAGAGATCCTGGGTTGAGCAAGGGCATGGGTTGAGATGGAAACTTGAGGGATTGGATTGGGGGGACGTGGAGAAGGAGAATATTGAAAGAGATGACTGGAAGTTGGAACATTTCAGGGTAAGGTAGAAACTGGATTCATGGTAAACTCCCACAAATCTACAAGAACAACCCTAGCTAAGTTTGCTTACAAAAATGGACATTTAGCCTGAGCTGTCTATCTTCTGTGATTGAACTGGTATTCCAATTGTCATCAGAGAGCTTTCATCCAATAACTGATGGAAACAGATATGGAGACTCGTAGCCACACATTAGGCTGAAGAGGGGTAGGAAGGATTTTATGAGCCATATAACAAGTCAAGGGCATCACAATAAAATCCACAGAAACAACTAACTACATTCATAGAAACTTACAGAGTCTGAGCCAACATCCATGGAGCTTGCATGGGACAAACCTTAGGTCCCCTACATATATATGACAGTGATTTAGCTTGATCTACTTGTGGGACTCCTAACAATGGTAGCAGAGGTTGTGCCTAAGGCTTTGGCTGGCAATTGGAACCCTATTCCTCATAATGGGTTGCCTTGCCCAGTCTTAACACAAGGGGAGGTGCTCAGTCTTAACACCACTTGAAATGCTATGTTTTGTTAATATCCATGAAATGCCTTCTTCCTTATGGACAGAAGCAGGAAAGGAATGGATTGGGGGTAGGGGTGGAGTATAGGGAAGGTGAGGAATGGCTGGACAGGTGGGAGTGGTCAGAATGTGAAATGAATATATTTAATTAATTTTTGAAAATCCAGTTTAAGAAGGTAATAAGGATTACTGAGAGACAAAGGTGACTGGTTCACCACAGATCTCTGCTTGGCTCCATCTCAGTTATTGTCTCCTAATCTAAGAAAAAAAATAGATAATTTTTGTTTTTGATTTATATTAAACTGTTTGGTTTTTTTTGTATTTGACTAAGCATGCAAATATATATATATATATATGGTATAGAAATACATACCTAAAAAGTCTGTCTATTTAGAAGTACATATTTAAACTGGTGATGCAATTCACATTGTCTTTCATTTAAAGATACAACAGGTATCATCATAGATACTAAGTTGCCAATGAATAATGACATAAAGATGATTGTTTTATAATGAATTAATATATCTATTAGTTATAGTATTTTACCATAAATTACTGAATTGTTTTCAACTTGAGAAATAGTTCAATGATAATTTTCTTTATAACTTCTGAACAGGAAAATTTAAGTATAGCACTACTAACAGGTAGGAACAAAGTAAGGATACTAAGATTGTGTAAATTTACCTGTCCAAAAATACTCCATGTTAAGAAGGTTTAAATTCCAATAAAAACAGCCCTTAAAGACATGGTGAATCATTTGTTTCACGAGAGCCAAAGAATATGATTTACTGCCAGCATTTCTATGTTCCCCCACACCCTTCTCCCTATGGTGTGATGGTCAGATTTCATCTTGTAACTGTTCTAAATTCTCACCTCAACTTCTCTTCCCCTTAGAATGATATTATCTTTCAAATTACACTCAAGAAGCATTCATCACTCTGACAATGCAACATTAATCAAAGGAAAGAGAGCTAATATTTTGTAGTATTTTTGAATGTATGGCAGGCATATTGTAAAAGTTAAGGTCTAAGACTAAAAGTTTTTAGCTTAAAAAATAAGGCATGCTTGATGGCAGGCTCATTGCTTCAGAACCGTACCTTCCATTCTCACCTAAATCTTTCAATGTTCAGGAATAAATACTAATGGTCCCAATG